CCAAGCCCCCGCCGACCCGCTCCTGCTCAAGCTGCTGCGCCTGGCCCAGCTCTGCCTCGAGTACCTGCTCCACTCCCAGGACTACCTCAGCGCCCAGCTCCGCGCCAGCCAAGAGCTGCTGCGGGCCGCCGACGCCCACCGGGACCTCCTGGCCAAGGACGTGGCCCGCGGGGCTCAGGAGATGCGGCTCCTCAAGGAGGAGTGCAAGCGCCGCAAGAAGATGATCGCCACCCAGCAGATGATGCTCCAGGCCGGGGCCACCTACCACCAGGTGAGCAGGAAGGGAAAGAAAGAAAGAATCAGTCAACCCGTGCGAATCCATTCGCGGTGCAAATACTCGGCATTTCTCATGGAAAGCAGGATTCCCATGAGAAATTTTAAACCATTCATTCATTTATTCATTCATTCAATTTATACCCCACCTATCTGGTCATTGCGACCACTCTAGGCGTCTTACAACATACAGTACAACACAAATATAAGAAAAAATTGTAACACAATTAAACAATTCCATACCTTTAAAGATCAGCCCCCTTGTGTGCTGTCAGGATTTAGGAGGGAATTTTACTATGTTTTGTCCAGTCTTTCAATAATTTTTTATTTTTTGAAAAATCCACAAGCTGGGGGCTCTTTTTTTTATTTTTAAAAAAATCTCCTCTCTCTCTCTCTCTCTCTTAAATAAGGGGTTACAGGTGCAGCCCTCTAGGGTCTGGTGGGCCTGACCTTTGGAAGTTGGCAACTCTGCTTATAGGTTGTGTGGAGATGCAAGAATGATTGGTTGGCACATCCATTGCTGTGTATCCATGCTCTTAGAATCACCACAGTATTGTGCAGAAGTTGAAAACTGAAGGAATCTGTCATTTGTTTCAGTCTGCTGAATTCAAAAAGGGCTATTTAAACTGTGGCTACATAATCAGTATAGATACACTTTATGTATACCTTTGGATGTCAAGGATGCTCCTACTTTTGTAGTTACTTATGGGCTTGATCTAGTTAAACCCATGTAGAAGCTCTTGTCTGTTTGCTCTAATGGAGGTAGAGAGATGGGGGCTAAGAGGTGAATTTAAGGGTAATGCTAAAGCTTCCTTTGAGAACAGATGGCAGATTTTAGTTGAAGATGAAACAAGCAATTAGATCATGCTATCTCTACATATACAATTACAGAATTGTAAAATAAGGCAGAACTTACCATAGGACATGTCCTTCATTGCATATGAATGGTAGCATTTTGGAACTCTGAGGGGATGGGCACCCACTACATCTCTTAAATATTGTTCTACTACTTACAAAGAAGTTTTTCTTTTTTTTAAAGTGTAAGATATCATTCAGTAATGTGATCCCTTTCTTGTGGTCTTAAGTAGTATCATCTGTAACCTTTCTGCTCTATTTGTGTATCAGCTGTAGGGTCTGCTTAAAGGATAGTTCTATGTCTTTGTTTTTCACTTCTTTATAAGCAGAACTTCAGACATTCCCTTGTTGTCTCTTGATCATAGGGTAGCCCCTAGGACAATGTAACAAAAATATTCATTCATTCATTCAACTTGTATACTGTGCAATAGTGTGTACATGAATAAATAAATAAATAAACAACACATTAAATCACATATAATGAATGATACAAAATACAATACTAAAACTATCATAAAATAGATAAAACCCTGCCACTAGCTAAATCCTATTTTTAAATAGAATTAAACAAATTAAAACAGGTTTCAACATATTACGTGGTAAAAGCACCAATGAAACGGAACTTTAAATAATATTGCTTTTACTAATTCCTTAAAAAACCGAGTGGTATAAAAATGAATGGTATAATCCATGTGCCCATATCCCACTGAAAAAATTATGACTTGAATTTACATTAACTTAATTGTTTTATATCCAGAGTTTGTGTGCTCAGTCCCTGGGTTTCTATATTATTTGCAGCCATAATAGTTATCCTTGAAAACACTTGAGCACATAATCCCATTGGCAGTAAGTTAATCAAATAGGCAAGACAACATATGATAAAAATGGAGGCCATGGCCTTCAAATACATCCCTTGTTTGTTTCACACACTCATAAGTCTGTTGAGATATTCATAACTCAACTGAGGAATTTTGAACTTCATATAACTTTAGCATGTATTTTATATATCATGATATGAAGTAAGCCATAAACACAGGCTAGTATCCTGTTCGGGGGGGCAAATCCACTGCAGAATAGCCTGTTTCACATATGGTTACTTGCTTCCACTGCTTGTGCAAGAGGGTATACATCGTCCCTTTGTATGAGTGGCAATCCCCATTGTTAGTGGAGCACTCTCTAGTTTGTGTAACTGCGTCCTGTTCGGGGGCAAAACCACCGCAAAATAGCCTGTTTCACATATGATTACTTGCTCCCACTGCTTGTGCAAGAGCATCATCCCTTTGTATGAGTGGCAATCCCCATTATTGTCAGTGGAGCACTCTCTAGTTTGTGTAACTGCAAGCCATAGATTGGGCAAATGTGTTGCACTCTACTCAGTTCTTATGCTCTTTTCCAAAAGCATGCTATGAATTATTATCCCTGCCTGGGACGTATATTGATGGTCTGAAGGACGAGAGAGTTGGAGTGCGCCGTCTCCTCCTAGTGAAAAGGAAAGCAAGGCTGTCGGAGAGAGAAAAGAGGAGGCAGAGAAATGTAAAGAATCAGAAAGGGTTAAGACAGAAGTCTGTCTGTCAGAAGAGGGGAAGAACGGGGAGGAGCAATGGGTGGAGGTATGGGAGGAGAACATAAATAGTAGGGGAGAAGCGCAGGATTTTCAGGCGGTGACAGGCATGAAGAAGGAGGCAAAGGAAAAGGAGAAAGTGCAAGAAGTCAGAAATCTGATAGATGCCTAGAGGGAGAAGGGCGGGATTTTCAGGCGTTGACAGGCGAAGAAGGAGGCAAAGGAAAAGGAGAAAGTGCAAGAAGTCAGAAATCTGATAGATGACTTCCCGAACCTGAAGGTGGGCGGATTGTTGCCTGATCCTGTATTGCAGCCTGAAGGAGTGGTCATACAAGAGACTCTAGAATGGACCGTGGTGGTGTTCCCCAGAGGACAGGGTCATTGGAGGAAGGTGGTATGCCCGGATCCAACTTTCAACCAGCCACCACTCGAGGGGGATTGGGCCCGACACCCTTGTTGCGGGACAATATGCACAGTAAGGAGTGTTCCGTTGCGGAAGCCTACAGACAGGGAGCGCTTTGGACCGGCTCCCCCATACTAAAGAATGAATATGTTGTTAATTGTTATGGACAGTTAGAAAGGAAGTTCAAACAGTGGGAGTTTCCAGAACCTACTGAAGTTGTGATCGATACTCCGTTAATGCATGTTAATAAAAGTTCTGTTTCTGAAGTTAAAAACTCTCCATTTCCTGCTTACTCTGGGCAACCGCCTGATTTTTCTAACAGACCTTTTGACAGATAGCTTTCACGACACCTCTAGAGAACAGAACAAGAAACAAATGGGACTACTGTTCAAATGTGTTGTAAGGAACCCAGAACCGAACAGTATTCCTTTTTCACTGTGGAATAAGACTTCATTGTTCAATATAATATGTGCTTATTTACAAACAATGAGATTCTTTCAAGTAAGTGGTTTGTCTTCATAAAGCATAAGATACTGATGTACCATGCGTGCACTAAAGTGATTGCATAAGGAATAAGGCGTGCAACCACTATGGGTAAGCGTGGCAATTTTAACATGGGAATTTGGTCGGATAATGATATTTCACAGCCAATTTAATGCATTAAGCCTTGCTGTGTTTTAGCAGAACGATCCCTGTTGCTTTTTGGCAGTTCTGTGGCACTCACTCCTTGCTAGCTGGGCTTTCTGTGTGTTTTCATTTATCCAACAAAAATGTAACTTAAATATTTATAGCCTTAGTGGCTATTTCAGGGTATTTATATTTCATCACATAATAGCTATCAGCAGTTGGGTTTGAAATAGTTGACGAGAGTCAGGAATTCAGCAATAAGAGATTATGACTCCACAGTAAATTCTTAAAAGGTTGTTTGTGGCAATTAAAGACATTTCGCATGGCAACTGATAACCTGAACATGGGGTTCTTTCAAGATGGCATGCATAGTTGAAGCACATTAATGAGTAAGAGTTTACAAGATCATACATCCGTAAATCACAAGCAGAGTATTTCTAATGCTTTTCTTTTTCCCATTATGTATGTGCTTGTTCTGTGCTGTCAATCTGGAACCAACTAATTATTAATAGCAATCCTAATAGGACTTTTAAGGTAAGTTAAGACATTTAAAGAGTGGTTTTACTAATTCCACTCCCTCAGTGAGTTTCCATGGCCAAGGGCAATTGAAATCCTGTTGTCCAGACTCCTAGTCCATCACTCTATCTACTACACCACACAGGGAATCACTTTTTGCTCTTTGTGTTGGCAAAATAGGATTTCGGTTTTCTTATGTTGGCCCCCCAGACCCATCTGTAAATTCTGGAAGGCATTTCTTTACTATACTTTCAAAGTTTCAAATAGCAATACTGTAGTTAATCTGTAGTTTATGACATGGTGGCTGAAATCCACTTGATGCAATACCACCATATAAATGGTGATGATATAATCACCCGGTAGTGTTAATTTTTATTTTAAATTAATTTAAAACTTCCTGTCTCCCTAGGTATCCCTTTTGTCCTTGGGGAGTCTTGGAAGGGGAGGGAGTGTTTAATATCAGAAGATTGCTGGTGGTGGTCCCACCAGACTGGGACTGCCAAAAGCGATCCAGCAGCAATTTTCTGATATTAAAGGCTCCCTCCCTGTTCCAAGACTTCCAAAAGCTTCTGTAGGACAAATGAGATCTTTACAAAACATAAGAATCTGAAAGGTCAGGGTTAGGTAAAGGTAAAGGTTCCCCTTGACAATTTTTGTCCGGTCGTGTTCGACTCTAGGGGGCGGTGCTCATCCCCGTTTCCAAGCCATAGAGCCAGCGTTTTTGTCCGAAGACAATCTTCCATGGTCACATGGCCAGTGCAACTTAGACACGGAATGCTGTTACCTTCCCACCGAGGTGGTCCCTATTTATCTACTTGCATTTGCATGCTTTCGAACCGCTAGGTTGGCGGGTTAGGGTTAGGGTTAGGACATTTTAATTTAAATTAAAGTTTAGCATTGTTAATTATGATCACTATCATTTATGCCTGGTACAGTTACACAACAGGATTTCAGTTAGTGTGATAGAAGTTAGGAGTAGAACCATTCTACCCAGTTAGCTGCCCAGTTCTGAAGACAAGTTGATGTTTAGAAAAATTGGCCCATCTTGATGTTGAAGCTGATATTTATAAAGTTTGACAATTTAACAAAATAAGTCTCTCCTTGGCTGTCACCAAGGCAGCCATACAAGGTGACTGTTTCAAGAAATATCACATGTAAGTAGATAGCCGTTTACTTGCTCGCATTCTGGTCCTAATATTCCCTCGGTATTGGTGTCATCAGTAACCTCAGAACAGAGCGATGTTTTGCCCAGTTCTGAAGACAAGTTGATGTTTAGAAAAATTGGCCCATCTTGATGTTGAAGCTGATATTTAGAAAGTTTGACAATTTAACAAAATAAGTCTGTCCTTGGCTGTTAAGAATCTGCCATAGGATACAGGTATCACCAAGGCAGCCACACAAGGTGACTGTTTCAAGAAATATTGCATGTAAGTAGATAGCAGTTTACTTGCTCGCATTCTGGTCCTGATATTCCCTCAGTATTGGTGTCGTCAGTAACCTCAGAACAGAGCGATGTTTTGGTGGATATGTATTCATATATCCTCATTTTAAATGTTTTCTGTTGACAAATGCAGAATTAGTATCATTAATACTTGGAAGAGCTTGTCTTTTTCACTTTGAGAACTATTTAAAGTACTGAGAAATAAGTAGGATACAAGTCAAGTTAGGTAAGCATGAAACACAGAAGTGGGACCATAAATCAGACAAGAGCCTGTGCATGTTTTGTGGAGCCAAATCTATTTATAGTTAATAGTAAAATGTAAGATGTCGGAGATGAATTAATTTTATGTTTTTTAAAAACATTGTGATTAAGTGTGTACAGATTTTGGTCACCTGCCTATGCCAGCAAAGTTCTTTGATGACTGATCTCCCTGTGCTGGTTTAATTTTTTTTACTAATAAATTTATTCAAATATCTTACATGTTTTTAGAAGACTACAACTATACAGCTGAGAATGAACCTTAGATTAGCAGTAAAACACACAAAGCTAGTTCTTCAAAGACATCTACTACTGTTGAATAGATGTAAGTTTTGATTGTAGTTGTTTGACAAAAATACCTTTATTTTACAGTGTCAGTTTTGTGACAAAGCTTTTATGAACCATTCCTTCCTGCACAGTCACTTGCAGCGTCGCCATGCAGAAGAAACACACATTGGTGAGTTTTGAGGGAAAAATGTACAGAATTGAAAAACTCGCAGTCTAATCTGTATATTATGCTGTATGGAAATGCAAACAGAATGCATCAGGTACAAACAACTCCAGTTGCCATGACTCAACTTCCAGATAAGGGCGTATGGAATAGTCATTATGAGTAAGCTACATTGAAAGCAGTGGAGCTGAAATTAGTTGTTTCATTGATAGCAATGGATGATGGTGGTGACTAACCAAGGCCATTGTGCTAAACCTCCAAAGTGAACTGAAGTGAGTTCAGTTTGTTCTTTCAGATAGAACATAGGCTGATCTATAAGTGTTATAGGAAAAAGATTCAAGTTGAATGTGGGTAAATTTGCATGATTGCTAAAATTGCTTATTTATGTTTGTATAAGGCCATTCTTTGCAGTGAATTGTCACTCTCTTGTAAGGTGTTCATTGCATTTCTGATTATGCATCAAGTTGTGCAATTGAGTATGAACCCAGAAACACAGCTGACACATCATTAATGAGCTGTAGTTTGCCATCACAACTTACATGATTTTCCTTCTGCACTTGTAAATCAGCAAGAGAATTTTGGCCAGTGAACTATTAAATGCTGCCTCCAAAATGGGTAGGGTTTGTCATTTATGAGCAGGAGACAAGGCCACAGTGTATATTGTAGAAAGGGTATTTTATGACGCAAGAATAAGCCTGTAAATTTTTCCAGCCTAATAAATCGGGAAGCCAAACAAATCCATGTCAGTTATAAAAGTTTTCACATCACCAAATAAATGTATCTTCATGCCTAGGTGACTCTGTATGCATGAAGGTATAAAGCACACAGCTTTGTACCTTCACACAGGGTTCCATTGGTTAACATGAAGGGAGAAAGGTGAAATATTTTCAACCCATTATGTAGCTCTGTAAGTCAAAAAAATTTCTTCATTATGGGCATTCCTTTGCTTGTATGACATTTCTGGATTTCTGCTACAGCAACTAGCCAGCACAGTTCATAAATGCACACTGCTAAAATCATTGCTAGTTTTATTTCCCTGATATAATTAGATGTGTAATCACTTCAAGCATTGCTCTTATGATTTGGAGGCACCTGCAAAAATGCTCTTTCTCTCTTCTGTTCTTATTTTTGGAATTGTTTTCTCCCCATCATTTCAACTACAGCTGTTGTTTGATTAAATTATAGAAGATTGATTTGTAAGGCTGCTGCCTCTAACATTGTAAGGTCCAGTTGTTGTTATGAGCTCTTCTGGTGTTGTTTGGTTTCAGTGGTTGGGCTTTTCAGTGAAAAATAGCAAGCACTGTGGGCGAAGACAAATGTGTCATTTCTAGAACCATGGAAGGGTCACCTTCAGTACAAATGTTTTTTACTTCAAGAATTGAGCTCACAAGGGGGGCATTCTACATGTTTGCAGGAAAAACTGAATGTGGATACCACTAGTTGGCAGAGGTCAATGGTATGAAGATATGCATGCCCTTCATAGTTAAATATTAGAGCTTGATTAAAAAATTAATGGCCCTGTTTCCCTGAAAATAAGACCTAACCTGAAAATAAGCTCTAGAATGTTTTTTCAGGATGCTTGTAATATACCCCCAAAATAAGCCCCGATTTCCACCACTGTGCAGCAACCAGAAGAAGATAACATGACTGTACAGTATTTGAATAAATGTAGATTGTTGTACATGAAAAAAATAAGACATCCCCTGAAAATAAGCCCTACTGTGTTTTTTGGAGCAAAAATTAATATAAGAGCCTGTCTTATTTTCAGGAAAACATGGTAGTTAAAGTTTGATATGCAATTTGCATAGGCTATATGTCATTTCATATTGATCATCCCCTAAGAGAAAGGGGCTATACCTCTATGTATACTGTGTAACACAATCTTGGCCGTATAAATGCATCCAGATTTTAACACCCAGAAGACCTAGATAGAACTGGCAAGAGTCTATGTTGTTTCTCAGGACGTATAGGAGGAATAGTTCAAGATCGTCCAAAGCCCCAAGATTGGGAATCTTTGCTCTATTAGAAGCCAGTTGACTGCCTCCATTTAGATTCTTTTTTTATCATAATGCTATAAGAAATGTTGACTTATACTCACTTACTTAGGTGTTAGTCTCATTTAATGCAACAGGGATTAAAATTACAGTTTTAATCTTGACTGCTCCAGTCAGGATTCTGGAGCAAAAGAACAACTGTTTAAACACATGTTGTGCCCTGCCAATTGCCCATTTCTTTTTTCTTTTTTAAAAAAAAATGCAACTGAAAGTGTAACACAATGTGTATCTAACAAAAGTAAATTACTAAATTGATGCTTACTCTGAGGTAAGTGGGAGTTTCCTACTTTCTTTAACCTTGAAGACAGAGGTGTTCTATAATTGTAATAAGAATAATTAATACAAAAGAGCGAGCAAGCATGTACAATCTTAATCCAGATTGGTACTTTACATTTGCAGTTACAAAAAGAAAAGGAGCTGCTATTTGCACCAGCTCAGGCATTTTAAAATTTTCATTTTCTATTTGATTCTAACAGATAAATTTGCAGCCACCCATGGAATGGCCAGTTTAGTTGTCTGTGTCTGCCAGTTCCACAGTAGGCCTGAACAACCTCAACAATATGTTAGTCCTTTTTTTTTCCCAATCTACAGAGGCCAGGCTAGCAGGAGGGGCCATGCTAATGATCCCAGCTTCATGTTATACAGAGGCTGCGGGTTCATGATTTGGCTCCAAATAACATTCCTCTCCACACAAACACATAATCCACAGGAAACTGAAGCTACTACTGCTGTTGGTCCCCCCCCCCAAAAAAATAGGGATAGCCCTATTAAACTGAGTTGGGTGCAATAGGAATCCGTTGCTGTAATCTCAGTAGCCCGCTTGGATGTGGTAGGCAGATTGCTGATCAGATTCTAATCAGGATTATAATTACAATGAAGGCTTTTTATAATGATGTGGTAAAGTGTGTAGGTGGCTGCAGTGCCAAAGGTTAGGAGTTCAATTCCCTACTGTGCCCCTGGGAGAAGAACCAGACTGTTTGGCCTTGGGCAAAACTGCACAATCCCAGAATGTCCCCCAGAAGGGTATTCCTTACCTAGAAAATCCTGGAAAGGTTTGCCGTAAGTCAGAATTGCCTTGATGGCACACAATTATTATTAAAGAAGTATACTGTATTGTGAGATGGGAGCTTGGACTATAACTATCAGAAACCATAAGAAATGCCATACATTCTTGGCAGCTCTTAAGACTCCTGAATGTTATAATCCAAATGCCTTCATAAGGCCATGGTTGGGCTTCCTGGTATAAGTACTGGAAGAGAAGTACAGGCCGCCTTCCCTTTGGCCTAGTGAGAAGTAGATTTCTACAAAGGGCATGCCAAACTGATGTAAAAATCCTGTTAATTTTAATTTTTATATGAACTATTGGTCCAAAAAAGTAATGTCAGTGTGTTAATTCTGTTATTTCAAAGCTGTGATATATATTCATATAGTGTTCTGAAAAAGTGGGCTTATAAGAAGGCTGCTCGAAACCTTGGAGAAGGATAATATCAGCTAACCCACCATTAAGTTTGAGAATATGCCTGTCATGTGTAGTCTGAAGCTTAGCTTACCTGCTGTAACTTCTCTCTAAATATTATGGCTATCATCATTGTTGTTGGGCAGAAGTCAGCTACGGTAGCTAAAAGGGAGCTAACCGGAATCTTTGTTTAAGTGAAAGGAGGTGGATTTTTTCAGCCCAAGAATCAAGTTCAATTTTAAGAGAAGTTCTTTTGGGCCCCTGTTTACTGGCGAGAAGGTGCAAAGGCAAAAGAATAGGGCCCAAAATAACAATATATTTTAGTGTAAGGCGCTTAGTACTTTGTAAGTCAGTCGTAGGGAACCCATTTGAAACTTTGAGAATGAGAGGAAGAAATCATGCAATAGCTGGGAAAGTCAGGAAACAGCATGGGAAAGGGGGCCTTGTCTCTGGTGGACTCCCAGGAGTGATTCAGATCCAGAATCTGAGTTCTTTATGTTCTTTCTGTTTAATGCAGATGGATTATGCTCTTGCACAGAACACCACAGAGGACAATTCGTGTGAGAGGATTTCATCCTTTTTGTCATGTGCATCTATCTGCTTTGTCACCTGAAAAGTCTCTATTGAGGGTTAGCAAACGCACAGCAAATAGTTCCCTGCAATTAAAGAGAAACAGTCCATAATCAAATGGAAAGAGCTTTCATGAAAAGGAATGTATTCACAGCAGGCTAGTGTCTGATCCATATACAGAATTAAACATCTCTAAACTGTCCCAGTTTTTTTTCCAGATAACTTGATAGGGTTGTGAATTTTGAATTTTTTGGACTCAAACTGCTGGAATTCTCCAAGAATTCCCCAGGTAGAATTCTGGAACATGCAGCTCAGTAACAGAAGTCTACAGCTCAGCTTTCCTTACCTCCATGGATGTCCCCTTTTTGGCTGGTTCTGATTTAAAGAAAAAAGAAAAATGCCATGTTTCTTTCTAGGAGTCACATGGCTTCTTGGGAGAGTTAATTCTTTGAGAGAACCCCTCCATAGAGCCTAATGGACAGTGAGACTACCTCTTCCAGAAAGCTCAGCAACTCCCAGGTTTTTTTTTAAAGGCAGAAACAGGCCAAAAAAGACAATCAGGGAGGGGAAGAAAGCTGATCTGCACACTCCCAGTATTCTCCAAAAATTCTTGGGACTTGGAGTCCAAAATCTCTGAAAGATCTATCTCTGCGTCTTGATGCCCAGAGTAGGTGTAGATCCACCCCTTACAGCTTGATTGATAATGTTTTGAGGGGGGAAAGGCAACTGGAATTAGAGGTGCTAGCATGCAATTCGAAAAAGCATTTTTGAACTCTCTCTGTAACAGTAGCTACATTTTCCAAAATACAGATTACAGACATACAAAATCATCACTATCTGTTCTTTTCTAGCAAATCAGAAGAAAAGTCCACAGACAGATAAATTAGAGGAAGAGATCAACAAGCTAAAGGAACAGTTACAACTTACCAAGTCTCAATTAGAAGCTGAGCAACATGCCCACGTTGTCAAACTGACTAAGGTAAGGCACACTTTGTTTCTAGAAATTATTTGGTGATGCTGAAAATCAAGGTGGGCATTAGGTGGATGCATGCAGCATCCTACCATTCTCTTTGTGTAGCCCTCCAGATGGCCCTTTTGATGAAAAAAAATAGTGTAACAAAAAATTTTGCTACTCCAGAAAGCCTCAAGAAGTTAGTTCTCATTTAAAACAAGGCACAGCCCCTAATTATTGGTAACAAGAGTTTTGGAAGTTAGACATGGACTTCTGATCATTTCTAGTTTTATCTGCTGGTATAGGTATTGGAATCCTGGATTCCTTTAGTTTTTTCCCATGCCCAACCCTAGTCATAACCAATGATTGTTTGATTTTTTTTATTTTTTTTATTTTATTTGGTAAAACAATTCAAATGTGAATTGAGGAGTTTTCTTGGCTTTTTAATTTCATTTGTCAAACTATTCATTAAATGACAGTTTCATTTACCAAGTGACAATAATTGCCCAAAGCCAATGCTTAGAAACTTGAATGGAATTTCTGTAGCAAGCAGTTTTATAGTACATCTGATTTCTGTAAACTATAAAACGGCTGTATGCCTCCCATAGTGTCAAGAAGAACATGAAGCTTCTACACCTAGGCTCTTTATAAAAGAATTTTCCATAGATGTAGCTAGTCATACAAACCGTATCTTATGAAATTCCACCTTGTATATAGGTATTAAATGTGGAAGTGCTGTGTTACCTTTTTCACCTGGCTCCCAATTCCCTTTCTAAAGAGCATTCATTAAGTCAGCACCAGGTATGGTATGGGTATTATTCTCAGAGTTGTCACCTAAGTCACATCAGGAATTAGACTCATCGTGGTCTGAAAGCATAATACAGAGACTGTTTTGTAGCATTTCAGGAATTGTGATGTGGGAAAAATCAGGGAATCATGTGGAAAGGCATAGCAAATGTTATCAAAACAAGCTGGCAGGATGGATTTGATTTAAATAACTTTTTTTGAGACAGATGTAGTCATCTGATTTTTTTTCTCCCAAAAAGTACATTCTTACCATAACTTTGATATAACTTCTTCACAATCTGATTGCCCAGTAATTGTCTATTCACTGACACCTTTGGCATCTAAAATTATGTACTTTCCGAGAAAGAAGTAAAAACTTAACTTGGCATCCATAGAGTTGCAGAAGGGCTACAGCTTGGTTTACTGAGGTAAAGAAATCAGTATCATTTAAGACAGTCGTTCTTAATCTTGGGTTACTCAGGTGTTTCTGAACTGCAACTCCCAGAAACCCCAGCCAGCACAGCTGGTGGTGAAGGCTTCTGGGAGTTGCAGTCCAAAAACACCAGAGTAACCCAAGGTTAAGAACCAGTGATTTAAGAAAACAATTGAAAACAACCCTAGATACTTTAATATGTCTTCTAAATATGACAAAATCATCTTGAGAGAAAACGCTCCTAGAATAATTGCAGAGTTGGAAATTAGAGGTGGTCATGTCGTTATTTCTTGTGTCCATATATTGCTGCTATGTATAACCCACTCTGAAAGCACAGATGGGAAGTCTGAGTGTAGTGTATCCATTTACTGACAAATTTACCCAGACTGAGAATCTAGGTCGGAAAGCACAGCTTTATAAAATTTGGAGTTGCCCTATTGGTCCCTTGTGTCACTTAATCTTTGATGAATTTGCAATAGTCATATGCACCTCACATTATCTGCATTGCTGGGTGATACAGTTTCAGCAGTGAGCAAATAAACAGCATCCTCATTTGGCATACTTTCACAGTTGCTCAAAAAAGAATTGTCCTGCATTCTTCTGCTAGAATCCCTGGCTTAACATAGCACCTTAACATCTCAAAACAAAGTTTTAGAAACTTGGTATGTCTAAAAAGGTCATTCCACCTATGGAATTCTCCGAAATGGAAATTCGTCTGTCCCACTTTCTATGTTCAATTTCTAAATGATATGTCAATTTCTTCTGTGTTATTCATGGCTGTTTAGTATTTAAATTGTATTAGCTTTGTACTCTGGCTTTTAGAATCTTTTGTACTGTTCTGCTATTTGTAATGTTCTGTGCTTTTAAAAAGCTTTAAAAAAAAGGTTTTAAAAGTTATAGCTGTAAGTTGCTTTGGGGTCCAGAAGCTATGGATCAATATTTAAAAGTAAGTTAATAAATTCCAGTATGTTATAAGTAAAGATGGGGATGAAGTGCCAAATTGACCCAAGGAACAACAAATCAATTGTCATTTGTCGGGTCTTTTTTGTTTTTTTGCTTTCGCTTCTCTTGCTATGCCCCGGGGTTGCCACAGCTGCGGGATGGCTTTGATTCCCTTTCTCCTCCTCTTGCTATGCCCCATGGGATCAAAGTGATCCTGCAACACTTTGATCCCTTTCCCCCTCCATAAGTAGATAGGGAATGAAGGGACGAATATAAAATAGTTATACAATATTCATCTCCAGAAAACCAAAATCTAGAAATCACAAGAATACAAGCTAAAATGAAATTAATAAATAAACAAATCAAGGCTAGAGTGAATATGGAAGAATGGCTACTTGTTAAAAACAACAGCAGCAAGGCAAAAGATAAATACCTGGTTCTGGAACCAAGAAGGTTGTTCAGAAAGCCTGAATAGATGGTGGGAGAGGGGGTTATACTTGCAGTATTTTTTAAAGTCACTTATTTTTCAGTATTAAACAAAAATAAATTATTTTACAAATGAGACAGTATTAGCAACCTATCCAAAGTTATTGGAATGTCTTCCAGGTGTCTTCCTGATGTCAAGATACAACTCAAAATTCTCCTCAAAGCACTCCATGCTGCAAGGTATTCTGTTTGTTTGCATGCATTTGAGAATTCCCAGAATAACAATTCAAAATCATTTCAGGAATATGAGGAACACAGATCGAAAGAGGAGGAGATTCGGCAGTTATTTCACAAGTGGAAAGAAGAGGAAAAAGAAAAATTGGCCACTGAGCTAGAGAAGGTCAAAGATATGTTTATGAAGGAGTTTAAAGAGTTGTCAGCAAAGAATACAGAATTAGAAAATGTAAGTAATCCAAAAATGACTTTGGCTTGACACTTTGAGAAAATAGCAAGGTCAAATATATTACATTTGAAAAATGACCTCAATACACTATAACTTTGTAAGTCTCTTCAGTAATTCGAGCCTGTAGTCCATCACAGCTGACACTTATCCCTGAAAGGGTTAATGTCAGTGTGGGATCAGGTAACCTTTTCAATGATACCAGTATTCATCTGGTTATCAAGGTATGAGTTGTTTCATTGTTAAAATACTTCATCTCTCTTCAGAGGATGAGAATAAACCATTGTTTCACTCATGGTAAAGTAACTCTTTCTCTAGGTATTCTTGTCATTCATTGTACTTTTGCCAGGCAGAAAACTGATTCTGGGCAACATCAGGTTACTTACAGTAATTCTACAAGTTTTATTAATCTAATTGCTTCTGTGTTCCATATGCATGAAATATATTATTCAAAGTTATTGAAATATGCAACCTGGAAGTTGCAGGCACACTTGTTTCAGTTACACAGAAATCAAGTCATGCAGTCCCTTATGAGAAATTGCAGGTGCAAGTGCTTAAACAGAAATCCATTTTGTGCCTAGTTTTTGCAGTTAATTGTTTTTTACTCCCATCTACATTTTCAGGGTTGTTTTTTGTTACACTTCTCTTAATTATTTTACCACTGTGTACATAAAAATAGTATCAGATTTTGACATTACAGCTTTATGGGGCATATACTGTGAAGCCATTGAGTCCAGCCTCCTGCTCAATGCAGGAATTCAAATCAAAGTATATCTGACAAACAATTGTCTAATTTTCTCTGAATGTGTCCATCATTGGAGCACTCATCAGCTCCCGAGGTAATTAGTACCACTATCTTACCGCTAAGATGTTTTTCCAGATATTCAACCAAAACCTGCCTTCCTGTAATTTGAGCCCCTTATCATGTGTCGTGTACTCTGGAATGATTGAGAACAGATCCTGCATGTCCTCTGTATGATAATGTTTCTAATAGTTTTGAAGGTTTTGCTGGTCAGGATATATTGCATCTACAGCATTCCTACTGATTACCAGGGAGGTAACTTGATCAAAAAATGAGATAAAATTTGTCTGTTCTTGACAAATTTGTGTTGGCTTCTAGTTATTACTGCATTGTTTTCAAGGTGCTTGCAGAGTGACCACTTTATAATTGGCTCCAGAACATTCCCTGGGTTTGATGTCAGGCTGACTGGTCTGTAGTTCCCAGGTTCCTCCTTTCTGAAGGCAGAGATAATATTAGCCCTCCTCCAATCATCTGGCACTTCCCCCATCCTTTATGATTTCAAGAAAATAATAGATCTGAGAGTTTTTCAACCAGTTCCTTCAATACTCTTGGATACATTTCATAAGATATTCCTCGATTATTTGTTTTATCACTCTCAAGCTGCAGTCCTATCCCTTTCCTTTGTACTTCACATTTGCCTGGAGAGTCCTAGATGGTCTTTTCGGAAAAGACTGGGCTAAAGTAGGAATTCATCAATTCTGCTTTTATCATATGTCACAATTTTTAATCACCATTGAGTAGTTGAGACAGTTTCTTTGTCATTTGCTATGCACATACCCAAAGAATGCTTTTTGTGTCCCTTCCAAACCTCCGCTCGTTCTTGACTTTTGCCTTCATAATGCCATCCCTGAAATTCCTTGCTACTTGCCTGTGCTCGTCTTTTTTGGCCGGGCCTTCCTTCCATTTCTTTTATATGTTTTTTTTTCACTATTATTTCCAAGTCCTTTGAGGTTTTTGTGAAGCCACATTGGTCTTTTTTTGCTGTCCTCCATGTTTTTTTCTTGTTAGAATTGTTTGTAGTTGTGCCACTAGAATTTCCATTTATAAGAAGCTTCCACCCATCTTGAACTCATTTTCCTTTTAGGATCTCCTGCAGTGGGGTGTTACTTATCATTGTTTTGATTTAATGAAAGCTGGCATTCCTGAAATCCACGTGTGGCTACAATCTGCTTTGGTTTCCTTTGAAATCAGTAACTGAAATAGAACATAGTCACTTTCCCCCGGAATTCCTCTTGCTGCCACTTTTTTCACCAAGTCATCCTTATTGGTTAGAATCAAGTAAAGGATAGCTCATCCTCTATTTTCTTTCTCCATTTTTTGTAGGAGAAAAATATCAGCAACCCAACCCAGGAATTTCTTGGAAGGGTCATATCTGGCAGAATTTGGCTCTCAACAGATAAATCTCCCATTATTACTATTATATCATGTCCTTTAAAATTCTTACAGTTTGTTTTTCAAAGATTTCATCTACATCTCCTTGATTTGGTGGTTACCGATAGACTTCAGCAACCACGTGGTTTTTGTCCCCCCCCCCCAGTTATATTTATCCAGATGCTTTTGATGGGAGAACTAAGCTCATCCTCCTGTATTTCTGTACAGGAATATGTATTTTTGACATATAGTGTGACTCCACCTCCCTTTCTATTTTTTTTTCTGTTCTTTCAGAAAAAAATTTATATCCTTCAATTGCTGGATTCCAGTCATAGGAGTCATCCCACCAAGTTTCAGTTTACCCTATCAAGTCATATTTATCCTCTAGTTTATGATTTGTATGTTTATGACTTTTCTGAGAGGCTTAGAGTGTACACAATTGGAAAAGGGTGAGTGTTCAAAAGTGAGACTGAGGAATAAATTAAAGCTTAAGTTAAAAGTTTGAACTCAAGAAAGTTGTTAGATTTCTGTTATCAGGATTGTTGGTAATTGTAATAAATCCTGTGCTGATCATTGTATTTTACCACATTTTAACAGCTAGAAAATATTTTTACATACCAATTTATTTATCCCTTTAAAATAACTTTTTTAAATTTTTATTCTCTACTGTTACCATCCTCAACCTAATGTCCCATGCAATGTGTTGGTTTGCAGCTCCCATCATCTCAGCTGCCACCGTCAATAGAGGACATCAGGTTGGGTACAATTGTTGTAGCATTTGTTTGTGTGTTTATTTATTTATTTATTTGCAATGTATCTTTGCTTTCATCTCTTTATTATTTCATTTTTAGCACTTATTGGAAGTACAGAAGTCAAACAAACACCTAAAATCCAATTTAGGTACATTAAAGGATAGCAGAGAATTTGTAGAAGAGAAACATCGGAATGCTGTAGATCAGCAGACCATAACAGAGCTTCTTGAGAGACAGGTAAATTAACACGCATCTTAGGCATTTTTCAGTGTGAAGTTATCTTGTCCCCAGACAGAGCATTCATATGGTGGTCTTTAGATCATACTGGTGTTTTCTTGAGAAAAATAGATAATATTTTGAGAATTACAGGCTTATATAGTTGTTTTCCAGAATCGTGATTAACTGTACTTTCACCCATGAATGCTCTTCAGGCATTTTTTATAATACTAGAAATGCATAATGTGGCACAATAGATTTATGAGCAAGGATAAGAAAATAATGACCATAGGCTTAGCCATGCTCAATGGGATGTTTATTTCATCACAATACCAGAACTCCTCTGTCCCACACTTAATGCCATATCACAAAACTGCTTTGACACAGCCGCCATGGTTTTGAAGTTGTGGGAGCTCTTGTCGGCTTAGTTTTCTTGGGTGGAATTGCATAGTTGTTGAAAATTGTGACCATAGTTTTTAATCACAAGCCACACATTATGTGGATAGATGCATAATTTGTATTTCTTATAATAGTAGCTAGATAAGCAGCAAATCATATGAGGAAGTAATGGCTTTGTTTAGTTCTGCCACAGTGTATCACATCACGCTTTGCTATGCCCAGACTAGTAGCATAATCGCGCCTTAAAGTTTTGAGATTTTGTTTGAAGACAACATTCACTACAGAGTTACTAACACAGCTTCAGACTACCATCCCCAGTCCCAAAGCTGAAAATACTCCTCAGTTATCCCCTCTGTAACTTCAGCTATTACTATCTAAACAAATACTGTTACTCAACTGTCCTGCAAAGTGCAAACTAGATAACACACACACAAAGCAAATGAAGATGCAAATTAATGTCTTCGCGAAGGCTTTCACGGCCGGGATCTAATGGTTGTTGTGGGTTTTTCGGGCTCTTTGGCCATGTTCTGAAGGTTGTTCTTCCTGATGTTTCGCCAGTCTCTGTGGCTGGCATTTTCAGAAGAACAACCTTCAGAACGCGGCCAAAGAGCCCGAAAAACCCACAATAACCATGCAAATTAATACCTGTAAAATTTTGAAGTGATATAATTTTTCAGCCCCATTCTAAATAGTATTTGAGCTTGCTTTCTTACAAAGAAGCAATATGATTTTTTTAAAACTGAGTCATTATGTTGTGAAGTATTATGTTCATATTCTAACATCAGCATTTTACAGACCATCTTACATGGTTACTTTTCTGGTGCAGCAATTCATATCAGTTCTTTATGTATAGTATGTGTTTATTATAGCTTTAAAGCCAAATTTAAATGTCATTAAGGCTTATTTGAAGTGATCCAACTTTATTTGTTTCATTCAGGAAACTAAATGGACTTCTAAAATACAAGCTGTTCAAGAAGACCATGAAAATGAAAAACAGCAGGTAAAGCTATGTGGTGATTTGCTGTATATAACTACCTTATTTGTAGTTAAATGAAACAGAAGTGAACTTTATCTCTTAATACTGTGTGCAACTCTGGCAATCCACTGGTGGTTTAAAATCACTTCTAGTTATGTATAATGTATTTGAATATTTCTGTTGAGCTGCTGTCCAAACAATTCATGATTATTTCTTCCATTGCAAAACAGGTTGCAGTTTTAGGAGTGTGTTCTACTGAATACAGTATCCTTTGCTTCTGTAAAACAATATGTGTAAGATTGCTCTGTTCTTTAAGTCTGACTCTTTGTTTGATGAGTACTGTGTACCCATGTAATGTACAACTTTATGCTTTCACTAGTAATGTTCCAGTTTAATTCCTTTGTTCCCCCCATTTCTTTTTAAAGACTTTATTTTCCTTCCTGCTTCTTCTCCCCTTCTTTCTCCCGTTTCAGTGAGCCAGTTTTAATTTTTGCGTTGCTCATTGTTAAATCAATCTGTGTCCTCTCTTTCTGTTGCAATGCATAAGATGATTAACAACATAAGGTCAGATAAATTCAATATATATGACAGTTTCTCAGGGTTGAAGAAGAACATTATAGATTAGTCCCATCAACATATCTGTCTGGTTTTAGGCATACATTTTTTCTGTGTGTTGCTCTCTGTGTAGGAAAAAAAAGTATCTGTAGTTTAATAAAATTAAATCTCAGTTGTGTCCTTTAGCTGTTTTGCTTTTGCTGTGGGGATGTGGTCTGGAAAGTCAGAAGTGTCTGTGGAGAAATATCCCTGTCTTCCCCGTAGGGGTGTTTTGTGTGTCACAATAAGAGATGGGGACGAATACAAAAACGAATTGGTTTTTCCGACGAATATAACCGATTTGTTAAATATGCATCGATCTGTATTTGTGGATTCCAGAGACCCCCACAAATATGTAGGGATGAATATTTACCCATTTTTATCTGACCTTCGTATTCAAAGAAAACAACAACAAAACCATTCTGCCTACCAGCCGACGATCAGCTGATCGGCAGCAGAAAGGCAGCCACCACCCCACACAGCCACCCAGTACCACAGCCTACCCCCACCCCCTTCCTTTCCCTACCTTAGGCCCCACCCCACCAGCACCGACACCCTCTTACCTTAATCGCTGCTGCCAAGGTCTTCTGGCCTTAGAGCCACACATGTAAAAATGGAGACTAGCTGCCCTTTCCAAAGATGGCGGCTGCAGCTTCATTTAGGGTAGGGAAGCTGCAGCTGCCATCTATGCAAAGGGCAGCGTGGATTCCCTTAGTCTGCTTTAAGGGAATCCAGGCTGCCCTTTGCATAGATGGCAGCTGAAGCTTTCCTACCCTAAATGAAGCCACAGCTGCCATCTTTGCAAAGGGCAGCCAGTCTCCCTTTTTACACGCCGTGGCTGTGAAGGCCTGATGGAGACCTGGCAATAGCTATTAAGGTAAGGGAGTGTCGGTGGGAGCTAAGGTAGGGAAAGGAAGGTGGTGTGGGGTTAGGTTGGGGTGGCTGGCTGTGTGTGTGGCTGGCTGCATTTCGGCTTCTGATCAGCTGATTGGCATCTGGAAGGCAGAATGGGCTTCTGTGCCATGTGGTAAACTCTCCTGGGGGGGCCCAATTTGTGGGTGGATAACTCAGATGTCTGATATCCAATCTTCACCAAGGTTGGCTGGCGTGTTGGGGAAAGACATAGAAAGCTCCATTGTGATTCTGGAGTCTCTAAGTTCCTGGGGGGTCCTCTTTGTGACTATATAACTCAGGGGTCCATGATCCAATCTTCACCTAACTTTTAGGTGTTGTGGAAAAGCGCCCGAGGAAGCTTCCCTGCAAATTTGGTGTCTCTAGGTCGTTGGGTGCCAGTGTTATAGCCGTTTAAAGTGCAGATGAATCGACGGATCGATTCGTCGATTCATCGAAGAATATTGCATTCGTTGATCTGTTAACCTTGACAAATAATGGATCAAAATGAATCACCATTTTTTTTATTTGTCCCCATCTCTAGTCACAATAGCTTTCACATGTAATTAATTTGGAAGCACTGGAGATAGCTCTCAAAATATAAGCAGAGTGTATTATATACAAAGGGACGTGGTGGCGCTGTGGGCTAAACCGCAGAAGCCTGTGCTGCAGGGTCAGAAGACCAAGCAGTCGTAAGATCGAATCCACGTGACGGAGTGAGCCCCCGTCACTTGTCCCAGCTCCCACCAACCTAGCGGTTCGAAAGCATGCAAATGCAAGTAGATAAATAGGGACCACCTCGGTGGGAAGGTAACAGCGTTCCGTGTCTAAGTCGCACTGGCCATGTGACCACGGAAGATTGTCTTTGGACAAAACACTGGCTCAATGGCTTGGAAACGGGGATGAGCACCGCCCCCTAGAGTCGAACACAACTGGACAAAAATTGTCAAGGGGAACCTTTACCTTTACCTATTATATACAAAAGTAGATTTTTTTTGTTGAGTGGCTATTAATTTATTTCCAGATCCCAGTGTAAAATGAAAATTTAGGAGAAATGTTTCCCATAATAGAGCAACGTGGAGTGGTGTACCTTTACCTAAATGTTCATTCGCCACTGAGATGCCTTTCTTTCTCTTTGAAAGAGCGTCATGAAGAATGGTGCACATACTTATTTCCCTGTCTCTCCTAATAGTCTGGCTCACTCTTAGTGCTTCTCATAGAAAATTTTTTCCAAAGAAAGACCAAAATAGCAATGAAGACATTATTTAACTGAAGATACAGCCTCCAATTTAAATACAGTACATGCAACTATTTGAAAATAAAAATTCCTTCGAACAATCAGTTTTGTGTTGCAAGTGAAGGTTTTCCATTGCTTAAATACTGTATGGTGAAAGAGCCCTGTAAGTTTATAGTTGTCTGTCTGCCAAATAGGTCGCTATGGGAGCTGGAGCTGGCTTTTAGACTGTATGAGAAGTGTTTTTGAGGTGAAACTTCTAAGTAGAAAAAACTTTCCCCTTCAAATAGTGTAATATTTGGATATCATCAGTCACATTTATATACATTTAATATTTTTTGTTCGTTTGTATGTATGTGATGTTCTCAGCTCACATCACAAATTGAGAAACTGAAAGCATCAATGGGTGAGGCACTCAATGCAAGCAACAGCTTCTATAAGAAGAGAATAGAAGAATTAGGACAGAGTCTTCAAGAGCAAAATGATCTCATAATTGCACAAAAGTATCAGGTTGGTTGTGTCCAATATTACTGTGAACCAAAAATCTCAGTGCACCTCAAAGTACTTCTCTTTTTAAAGTAGGGAAATCGCAAATGCATTTTCAGTGATGATGCAATGAACGTTTTATAACCTCAAAGTTTTCACAGTGTGTGTTCTTAAAGACAGTAATCTTATTTTTCTAAAGTATACAGCTGTTGGGAAATGCCTTGCCTGTTCCCCTGATTTGCAGGCATATTTTGAAGGGGTGAATCAGAGAGGACATTTCATCAATTTGTAGGGATGGGGATAAAAAAAAGAAAGAAAATGTTTTTTGGGAGAGAAGATGACACTATTGTGCTTCTTTTCCCCATCACCTTATGATGGCTTTGCTTTACTACACGGTTGCATTAAAAAGATGTAGACTTCCCTCCTCTCCACTGAAACAGTTCATTGGTTGTCACCTGACTACTGGAAGCAGCTCCATGCTGTTCCCTTCTCTTTTTATGGGACAGGTTGGGGGGGATAACAGGAAGCAGTGACATATTAGCTAGCTACTTGGCTGGCCAGTGAAGTAGCAACAGTAGCTGCTGACATGTTGGTTATTTGCCAGATTGATCCAAGTAGCTGAAGATAAAGAGCAAGTTGGTAGCCAGCCAACATCTGCTAATGTCCTTAGATCAACCCAGCCAATGCAGGCAGCTAGTCATTACATCACAGAATCATAAAATAAGAGAGTTAGAAGGGCCCCCCAACACCCTGCTTAATGAAGGAATCCATACCAAAGTGCACCTGATAGATATCTGTCTAGCTTTCTCTTGAATGCCCCCTGTGTCGGGTCGCTCACCACCTCCAAAGGTAATTGCTGTACTGTTCTAACAGTTAAAAAGCTTTTCCTGATATTCTGGCTTCCTGTAACATTACTTCCCTCCTTCACCCTGTACAAGCTGGGAAGTGTAAGGCTGGATCTACACATCCCCATTAACCTTTCCTTAATCTACAGTCACTCTTGTTGTTTCACACAGTGTCACCCTCCATGCTGGATTAAAATGGCATCTGTTTGGGCTTTTTCCCTCCACAGCAACTGTACGCCATATAGAGAGAAAGCTATATATTAACTCAGCAGCAAAAGAAATACCAGTGCACAGTGTCAGCGTGGAACCTTCTTCATCTGCCTTGGTGTAAATCTAGTCTAGGAAAGAGTGGCTTTGTTTGCTATGCTGTAACATAAAAAATATAAATTTCTCTTCTGTCCACCAAAACAATTCTTTATTTTTCACCCTGACACTGAAAATTGTTGCAGGAATTTCCTCCCTCCATTGATGGGGAGTACCTTGTTTTGTAGAACTAGATAAATATTCATAGTGTTACAGCCTATATTTGTAGCTTGGAATGTATGACCGCTTCCTCTGACCTTTGGCATTATCTTGTTGGCATCAGCTTGCTATGGTCGCACTGACCTGATGCTTTTGATCTCTGTGGACTTCCCTGCAGAGCAAAATTAAAGACACTGTCTCCTTCCTGGTTATGTAGAACTACCTGAATCACTGCTGGAACTCATCCGGACCCATAAGGGCACTGTTCCCTTGCTTTGGTTGGGAGCAGGCTATTCACATAACATACCAGGAAAAGTGGGTGTGGAAAGCACAAGTCTAGGGGTTTGGCTGTCAGGGACACATAGTTAAAACTGTTGCAGTCCTGCCTTATCTTCTTTTCTCTCATAGCATTTGAAAAAAAGGAAAGATGTTTAAATAATGCTATACCGTTTCATCTTTTGGACCTATTTTGTGAATCCCATTTTGTTGCATTTCAGATACAAAAACTGGCATCAAGAAAATCAGTAGAAAGCATCAAGTCGTCTGGTGGTAAGTGGAAATTATAAGCAGGGAAGACTCTAAAATGGCCTTGCTCTGAGTTCACTGTTTGCTGATCATTGTTTTCTAACACCTATGCATCCAGGAAATAATTTGTGCTTTATATTTTGCCTTTTTAAAAGTCTGTTCAGAAATATAAGGCACTGTAGTTTATATCTTTTTCCTTATCTGTTCCAGTGCAAACTTCAGCACAGAATATTGTTCAGCCTAAATCAAGTCTGCCATCTGCCATTGTTCAGCCTAAATCAAGTCTACCATCGATGCGTGGTGAGTTTCTTTAACAGATATGCAAATCGATATCCATTCATTGTCCTCTGGGATAATTATAAGTAGTAGGTAAATTTAATTAACACAGCAATTTTTCCTACTATATTTATCTCACATGGGTTTGAGAAAGATCACTGTTAGGGCTCACTGATATAAAAGAAAGATGCTGCCATTTTATTCCTCTCCAATAATTATTTATACTTCAACTTTAAACTTTGAGCATAAATCCCATAATGATAAAAGTAAGTTACAGTTAGGCCCAGGAGATGTTGGAACTTAAAGCAGAAACCATATCTACACTACGCCAGCACAGCAGTTAAAAAGAGCATTAAAATATCGTGTCTAGATGGGCGGATTAAAAAGAGCATTAAAATATCAAAATTAAAAGCACCTACAACCAGCTACCTGGGGCATCTATATCAGTTGATCTAATAGCAAATTCAGCCTTGAATAAACTTTGAACTAAAGTTATTTGTGTAGTAATGGTCTAATTAAGCATGTACCTCAAGAAGTTGCAGAATCACTAGTGATGTTGGAAATGAATTACTGTAAAGCTTGCTATAAAACGCTGTTACCCTAGGACCTGTTCACAGATGTATTCATCACATGGCAGCTGCAACTGTCACATTTCAGCTTCAAAAATATTCAGTTGTTTGAAATGGCCATCATGTCTTGGATCTCACGGATATATTTAGGGTCATGTTGATGCAAGTGGTGGCAGTCCTTTCATATGATAGCTACCAGCTTAAATAATTGGACTAGGAGTGCTGAGGAAGGCAATGTTCCTCATTCATTGTTTTTAATCTGTTTCATTTTCTCTACTGTGGACAAGCATTAGGGTAATACTTAGTTCTGCATCTGTAGTACCATAGTATGTTCTCTCCATATAGCTGGCAGATTTCAGATATGTCTGAACATGCAAATAAGAATGAACTTTTTTCACTATGCAAACAAGGGGTTTGGGTTCAGTTTGAATACTAATTCTGTATGATTTAGGTGGTGATTGTTTATTTTATTTATCTCTGCATCTCTATTCTGTCTCTCTGTCTCTCCCGTCTTCCTACCCTGTTCCGTTCCCCCTGCCTTTCTCAGAATTAATTTAAAAATTATGCCCTACCCTGTTCCATTCCCCCTTCCTTTCTCAGAATTAATTTAAAAATTATGCCTAGAGGAGAAGAATTAAGCCATTTCTCTTACCCTTTTCTAGCAATAGACTGTTTTAGTATTGTATGGCTTTATTTCATGGTTTATTGTATCGAACATGAGGGAATCAACTGGCTGGATCCAGGAATTGATTAAAGATTTGTTTGAGAGAGAGAGAGAGAGATATCCCAGTCTTCAAGCAAGGAAGTGTTTTTTACTAAAGAGTAAGATCTGGGATCATGTATTTCCTTCTCCACGCCCCTAATTGATTTGATTCAGGAATTATCTTCTGTACATGGTGAGCAGGGGGGAATGGGAAAGAGGACTTTGATTCCAAGACACATGGCAGTTAGAGAGAAACACCCGAAAAAAACCCAGGTCTAATCTCAAAGTACCTTGTTATGCAAAGTCCTACCTGCTGTGCTTCCAGATGTGAGACACAGTGGAAGAACACTGGAGTAAATGAAGATGGTAATATGAATAATTTGCTCCTTCACATGTTAGTTGTTGCAGATACCAGTCCATGTGAATACAAGCATTAATGAACTTCATTTTAAGTCATTGCATTTAACAGGGCTTCAGAGTGAATCAGAATTAAAAGAATCAAGTGTGGCACTTCCATATATTCTTCTGCATAATTTTCACCCTCTAGACTTTTATCTTGACCTGCTTCTGCCCTGTCTATCTGTCTTCCTGTTTGTGTTCTTCCTGTGTTTCCTCATTATTAGAACAGGCCCCCTTGGTGCACATGCTGGAGCCCATACAGGAGCTTCCAGAGGAGGAAAAAGGTAATAATAGGACCAATCAGAGTTATTGTGTCCTAAAATGGTAGTGCTTTACTGGGGATACAAATGTACACACAAGAGGGGTTTCCAAGGCATTGTAACACTATTTTCCAGCTTGTTTTCCAGTAGGCTAGTTTTCTGCCCGTGAATCATTCAGTAGTGCCATGTAGGCACCCCAATATGCCCACCATTACTCCTCCAATAACAGTCTTTTCTGTTGCTTGGTCTTCCTGCCTGCCTGTTAACTCTCAACAGCCAGTCTTCCTAAACATCCAGTCACTTCCTTTCTCATAGATCCATCTAATTCCTTTCTCATAGGTCCATCTAGCCGCCTAGAGTGGTCTTAACCGACCAGATCGGTGGGATATAAATAAAATAAATAAATAAAATAGATCCATCTAATTACTATCTTCTATCTTCCTTTGGAGGCAATTGATATTACCTTCATTTTTCTTGGATTCCTTGGAAAGGGGGTACATAGGATATCTTGCTTTTTAAATGAAGGAGGAAATTTGGGAAGAAGTTCCAGGCACTGCATTTAAATTTTCTTGCAAGTTATGTTTAACTTTTATGCCACCGCTGGATTATTCCTGGTCTATAATTCATGGGACTGCAGTACTTACAGTTGCTTCTATCTGATCAGTTCACATTGAGGAGGTCATGGCAAGATTCACTTTATTTACTTTCTTATTTTGTGAGAATTAGCTATATAAATATTTACTAAATGACTACAAAACCTAATTTGTTGTTATAAAAACTGCGCTATTAACTAACCAAGCTGTCTCCTTATGCTGGTTGGAAGCCATTTCAACTTTATATGGTATCTTTTTGAAATACTGTATTGTTTTTCTTACGTAGAACTGTGTCCAAGTTTGCATATAAACATGTCACAGGCTTCACATTGTGCTGCTATGAGAGAATAAATATTGAAAAACATGTTTATGCTTACTGCACAAGTTTCACCACTTTTACATATATGTTCTCTTGCCAATTCCTTACACATACCCCATAGAACATCCCATACACTGATAAAATTAAGCTTAACAGGAGATTAAATACTTGTAGAGTCACTGCATACCCTTGCAGTAGTGCCACTCATGGATAATATGTATGTAGATAGAACATGCCAGAACGCATGCATGAAATATTATTGTGAAGATGCCCAAATATAATTGTTAGTTATGGAGATTTCCAGGAAGTGAAAGGGTGCACTGTAAAGTGAATTGAACAGTTTGGGGTCTGCTTTCTGATGTTGCTTTTAAGACCTAGATAAAGGTAAAAGTAAAGGTTCCCCTTGACATTTGGTCCAGTCATATCCGACTCTAGGGGGCGGTGCTCATCCCCGTCTCCAAGCTGTAGAGCCAGCGTTTGTCTGTAGACAGTTTCCGTGGTCACGTGGCCAGGGCGACTAGACACAGAACGCTGTTACCTTCCCACCATAGTGGTACCTATTTATCTACTTGCATTTAGATGCTTTCGAACTGCTAGGTTGGCAGGAGCTGGGACAAGCGATGGGCGCTCACTCCGTCGTGTGGATTCGATCTTACGACTGCTTGGTCTTCTAACCTTGCAGCACAGAGGCTTCTGCAGTTTAACCCGCAGTGTCACCACGTTCCGATAGGACCTAGATACATGCGCTTTAACCTGCAGCACCACCATGTCCCAATAGGACCTAGATACATTACGTTAAATCGGGATTTGGGCATGCATAGGGTAGATCAACAAAGAAAGATGAAGAAGGATTGTTCCGTGACCTTTATTGCCAAGCTAAGACTTGAACTTTGATCTACAACCAAACTGAAATGTAGTCAAACTTGTGTTTTTGTTTTATTTTGAATTGAAAAGTTGGATTCAATCAGACAACATAATCCAGGGGGCAAGATAGAGTGGAAACATGTTTATGTGATGATTTTCAAGGGGCATTCTTCAGTATTGCTTTTTTTAAAGTATTGTGTGTTTGATTGATGCTTAGTAATGATATTTTGTATCTTTTAATTTTAAAAACTCTATTCTGTTTTAGAAAAGGAGAAACATTCACCAAGAATAGAGAGGAGCAAGCATGTAATAAGTACACTGAAGAGCAATCCTTCTTTAACAAAAGAGCTGAGAGTTGTTTTGGAGCAGACTTTAGCAGAGAAGTTGGAATCCTTGGGAATCAAATCAGTAAGCTTTCTTTAAATTATTTTGAAATGAAAATGAAGATGCGTCTCCATTTCAATTTAGTTATGCATCCTCCAGCTTGGTGCACTCCAGCAATACCTTGCAAGGTTGTAGACTCTCCTTCATTGGAGATTTTTTAACATAGGTTGGAAAGCTATCCATCTGGGTTGCTTTAGTTCTGGATTTCTTGCTTCAATACTGTAGGTGTTAGACTTGATTATTCTCAGAACCCATTTCATTTCTCTAAGTCTGTGATTCCGCTAATGGCAGTGGGAGAGAGTTAAATGCTTCCTTAATTGCATCCTTGAAACGGATGGGTCATCCAAGAGGTTGGTTTGGACTGCATCATGAATATTAGGCAAAAAATGAGTTAACTAATTCGGCAGAATTTCAATATTTTTGAGTAAAACTTAGCAACATGTGTGGATTTTCCAAACTTATAGTCTACTCAAAAATAAATCGAGAATACTAAAAATAAAATAAAAGAAGGGAGGCAAGATTACAAGTAGAAATAGAATCATAGAAAAGTGAATTTGGAAGGGGCCTACAAGACCATCAAGTCCAACCCCCTGCTCAGTGCAGGAATACAATCAAAGCATAACTCCCAGGTGATTATCTAAATTTTACTTGAATGCCCCTGGTGTTGGAGCACTCACCAACTCCCGAGGTAACTGGTTCCACTGTTAATTCCTAATGCGTGTGTATTTGTATGTTCTGTGCCATCAAGTTGGAACCAACTTATAACGATCCTAATAGAGCTTTCAAGGTAAGTAAGATATCTGAGTGGTATTACCATGGCTGAGCAGGGATTCAAACCTTGTTCTCCAGAATCCTAGTCCATCATTCTATCCGCTCTATCACACTGGGAGTCTATTCCTTATACATAGTAGAAGAAAATACTGTGTTTTAAATAGTATTTCATACATGCTCTAAAGACAAAACTATTCTGTTAATTTAAAACTGCAGTGTCTAAGATGTGTCATTGTTACTATAATTGATAGTTCTGCAAGAAAAAGTGACAAAAATTCTTGGAGCAATGAGTTTTAATGTATAACTTCATTCTGGCTGTTTTTAGGGGCGGAAAACCAAAGTCTGTAAAAGATGCTTGAGTTGAAATTATATTGGGAATATGACGCCATATATTGAAAGAAAACCACTGCCTTTCAGTGAAGTTTCATCCCCAACATACAGGGCTATTTTTCAGTTATCTGAGTATAAACAGTCTGTATTTCTGATTTCTACGATTTCAGCATATCATAAAAAAATCCCAAATATTATGAGCACTAGATCTCTAGTCACTGAGCACTGCAGTTAGAGTGGGTAGTAACAGACTGTGTACTAATTTTATTTTCAACACTCCAGTCTTATGGAGTATGGTCAGGCCTTGTTAGCATTTGGATTGAAAAGCACCCAGGAATACCAAATCTCTCCAGGTTGAACTAAGAAGAAGGAATATTCCTAAATCCATAGAGAGCCATTACTATCAAACAAGATAGACCAGTGGCTTGACTCAGGGTGCAACTACATGGGGCGGGGGTAGGGGGAGAATGAAGGAAATATTAAGGGTTTGAGGCAGGCTGTTTTGCATTTTATTTCCATTGACCACATGAGGCAGAGGGAAATTCAGATCACCTTGGAGTCTCTCTCCACTCCCCCCCAACTTAAACTTCCCTTTCTGCTACTGGTGCTTCTATTTTAAAAAAAAAAAACAAACCAGATCTATTGACATCAGTTTAGGTATGTGATCACTTCAACCAGTGCAGAAAAGCCACCATGTAGCACACACTAAGAGAATGACAAGCAAAGCATGTTTCTTTTCTTTAAAAACAGCTAAGGGTAAACAAAGTCTCTCCTCTTTTTTTTCTTTTTAAACCAGACTGGAGGAAGCCAGCACACACTCAGGGAGCAGTGATTAAAGTCATCAGCAATATTTTTCCTTTCTTCTTCTTCTTCTTTAAATAGCTAATGGTTAGCAAAGCCTCTTTCTCTTTTTAAACAGCCTATGGCAGAGCTAACAGGATGAAGAAGCATTGTTTACAGCTTATTATCTACATCACCTTCTGGGCTATAAATAGAGCTGCAAACAAGTGGAAATAAGGCTTCCTCTCATTCCCTGTATAGCCAGTTAATCCAGAGAGACCTGGGGAAACCTGAATTCCCTAGTGCAACTTGATGGTGATTAAATGGAAGTAAATTCTCATTTTCCTTCCTGTGACATTCCATGCTCTGTATAAGATAGCTTCATGTTTGCTTTTCTCTCAGCCTAGTGAATCTACTCAGTCACATTAGGTCTAGTCTCAAATCTTTCCAGATATACGTCATTCCCAGTAAAGTGATCTCTCTGAAAAAGTGACTTTACAAACCAATCCTGTAAAAGGGAAAGCAGTTTGATTTCTCCTCTGTGCAACATAATCACTTTTGTGAAAGATCTAGCCTTTTATAAAAAGGTAGCACTTGCAATGAAGTTATGTGTTTTGTAATGTCCACATCCTGCAAAAGTATATCTGTACATTCTCTGAAAGTGAAAAATGGAATTGTTCTTCAAAAGTAATCTGAACATCTGTAAAGTATTAAACAATATATTGGTGTCCAATCTTCCCCTACCCCCAGGGCGTTCGTGGCATCCCAAGTGATCATTTGAGTAGAGTCTTAGAGTCTGTTGAATCTGCTAGAGAAGAGAGAAAGAAACAAGTTCCCAACATTCAGCATATCCGAGAACAGCTTGAACGGCAAGTCAGCTTCAGAGTTGCAGAAAGAGCATCTTGCAGCCGGCTTCTTTCCAGCCCTCATCTTTCATCAGGTGTGGCAATTTTTAGGTCCTCCTGTAACCAGGCTTCAAATCCTAAATCCCCCATCTATGAATATTCTATAGAACAAATTGTTTTGATCCCTATCTCTATATGCCATATGCTGGTTTGTTGATTAGCTATTTTTTAAAAGCTGACTATTTGTCCTAAGGTCAAACAATAGATTCATGAACTATCTAAATCTTTGTAGTCGTCCTTTTTGATGATAATTGGCAGTGTTGTGGTGGTAAATTTGGAGATACAGCAGCTCATTGAGACAGTCCCCATGTGCACCCTCTCATAAAAAGTGTACTAAAGTGCAGGCAAAGGAATCAGTCCATATCAACATATGATAAACAGGGTCTTTAATAATTTAAGCCCAAACCACTCTCAAATACTTCACATTACAACAGAATAACTTGCAACAATGTACTTTTCCAGGGAAAAATCCTTCTCTCTCCCATTTTCTGGAAGGATTGCAATTAAGCTGATCCCTAACTATTAAAAAAGTCCTGGAACTTCAACCCTGCGAAGTGGGGTGACACTGCACCACTGATAGTCATCAAATCAATTTGTCATCCATGGCATGAATAGAACTGCTGTACTATATTTAATTAGCTTCTTTCCCTTCCTGTCTACAAAAGTGGAATTTGTGATCTGGCACGATGACAGCACAATACTTGGGGGCCAAGTATTAATGCTACATTCCCAATTGTGTAATTCTGTGGTGGGCATGTGGTGGTGAGGAACAAGAGTTGTTTTCTTATCCTAGAATGTATTTAAAGCATCTGTTTTATGAAATTGCTATCCAACATAGGGAAGCAAAGTTACAAGCGTATGTTCTGAGCACATTTCTTTGCCTTGTTTAATTTCTGTTTTATACCCAATTTTTCTGTTTTCTGGTAAATGCTCAAGGCAGGTTATAGAGATTAAAATTAATGATTCAAAAGAGATAGTGAAAGCAGATGACTGTGTTAACATTCAGAAGGACGTTGAAAAAAATCAGTGACTGAAGAAGCCAAAGGCCTGTTGAAATCAAGTACAATAAAAAGATATTAAGGAAGGCGTTCAAAAAGCTTCCAGAAGCAGTTCTGTTAAGCACAATTCAACTAGCAAAAAGAAAACAGAAAATATTTCTTTGTGGGTTATTTTCTTGCTTTGGCAGATATGATGTCGCTGAGTATTCCTTAATAGCAACATGCATCTTCCTCTTTGGACTGCCTATGTTTGGCTTACTTTATAATTTGGTTTTCATTGCAGTTCAACAGAGGAGAGCTCACATAGGAGGTTCCTTATCCACAGTGTTAACAAAGCCAGTAAAACGTTCTTCCATTGCCAAACGTCAGCCCGTAAAAAGAGCAATTGCTGTTGAGAACACATCCACACCAAAGTAAGTGGGACCTTTTGGTTAAGATGTTAACTATTTGCAATTTGTTTTACATATTTTACTTTTTAATTTAATTTATTTTAATTTTTGGTAAGCTGTCTTTCATTGGAAAAAGAAGGAAAAATTAAGGGAATTAAATATGCTTCATATATTTCCTTGCACATCTCAGAAGCAATATGTATCGTGTTCATGAAGACAATACTGACCATTTTACTAAATATTTACTAAATTATTTGTGTTACCTTTAAGTTATCTGCAAGCCACTTCCAAGCCATTAATGTTTAGAGCAGCATTGGAACTAAATATCTGCATTTTCCTGATGCCCTCTCCTCTCCCTCTCCTATTGTTTCCTCCCTCTCCTAAGGTTTCTTCTATTTAAATTTTTTTATACTATTTTATGCTGTTAGCCGCCTAAAGTGGTCTTAACCGACCAGATAGGCGGGATATAAAATAAATATATAAATATATAAATATGCAGTTTACTCCTATAGAAGGTTGTTTTGGACAAATTTGCAATGAAAGCTAAAAATCACAGTTTTGTTTTTTCTTCCAGAAGCAAAAACAGTGTTTTAGCAGATGAAATTTCTAGGAATCTGCATAGTGTTACGTAAGTCTTCCTTTGTCTGGTTTTTATTATTACAGAGAGGTGTGAATACAAACTAGGGATATGACAAGTGTTTGGAAATTTTCTGGTTCTTGGAGATTTGCTACATTTTGCCATGTTGGAACTCCCCAGTGACACTCCCTCCTTTCCCAGTCACATCATGGAAATTTCCCAGCTTCTCCTGAAAACAAAACCCCAGTCTTTTCTTCCCTGTTTTGTTTTGTTTTCTTTTCTTTTTTGTTTACAATTTTTCATCCATTGTTCTGTGCAGGAAGAACGAACAGATTTTATGCAGCGTAATGCCCTTTGAGGTGAATCCTGTGCAGGAAAGATACCATTCTGCTCAGGAAATGTCAATAATCTTGCACAACCTGGCAGGAAACCTCTGGGAAGTCCTGTGGGATTTCTTGAGTTGAGGGGGACATAATGTGCAAAGAAATCTCATGCCACAGATAAAAGAATGATCACTTAGTTTCTCTCTTAGAATAAAAGGCTGAGATACTGACATCCCTAATCCAGACTATACAACTCTCCCTCCCAAATTCTAGGCTCTTGACTAATGAAGGCAAAAAAGGACAGATTACTGTACATGCATGCTTTGGGTAAAGGGACAGGTGGCCTATTAATGTAGACAGAACACAAGACTGTGAGAGAAGGGAGGCTGTGCGAGACTAACTAAGGCAAAAAAAAGGACAGATTACTGTACATGCATCCTTCGGGTAAAGGGACAAGTGGCCTATTAATGTAGACAGAACACAGGACTGTGAGAGAAGGGAGGCTGTGCGAGACATCCCACTCTTAAAACGAAGCTCTGTTGACGTTCCTCTGGCTCCTTAACTGTTATCAGATGTCAGCAACCCATTCCAGTTGCTAGTCCCAACTTCAGTACAGCCGTTGAATTGGTTCAGTTTCCTTCAGTATTGACTTCCTGTTTGGCAATTGATTCAGTAGGTTTACCTTCTCAGAGGAGGCTAGCAGTTCAGTTCAGGCCAATGAGTTCTTGAGTTCTTTGTATGTCGATACTGCTTTGTTATGAATTCCAAGACAGGCCTGCAGTTGTGCTTATTCTCTACATCCTCTCTACAGCTGTTTACACACAAAATGATAGTCATGAACCACCAATGAGAATGACTAATTGATTACACCTGCTAATCAGGCTAAAATCAGCTAGATTGTTTTCCTTACTTAAACCAATGTAGGGGACCTGTGAACCCTCAGAGGCAGTCCTGGACCCTCCTTATCCCCCCTCCCTATGCTGTTACTGCTAGCACCACACATAGTATAAGGGGAAAGTCATCCCTTCATATCCTCTTTCTCTGCAGAAATGGCATCTTGACGTTTCACGTGGATAGTGGGGCTCCATTGGTGCAGAGAGCAAAAATATGTATTTTTAACCTTCATCGGAGTTGGGCAGGGTGACTTCTCTCCTGCTTTTTCCCACTTCGAAGAGAGAATACAGAGAAACTAGCAAAAGTGGTTAATGTGACAACATGGTTGATGAACATTTGGCTGAATCACAGTTTTACTCCAGTGTTTGTGTGTTCTAATTTATTTTTACTGGAACAGGATGAATCTGCAGATTTCTCTCCCCTCTTTTAGAACGCCACCATTCACCTCAGAGGAGGAAGTGGAAGAGGATGGCATCTTGCAGTCTTACATCTCACCAGAATTATCACAGCCCAAAGCATCCAAGAGCAACAGCAAGAGTGCCTTGTCCAGATTTGCAAGCCAGAGTGATATGAGCTCATCTGAAGAAGAGGAGGTGGAAGAAATCAAAGCCAATCCTCAGCCTTCAAGAAGTATGCAAATCAATTTGTGGGCAGCCTTGGGGAGGAACTGTAGGCATGCTGAAGCTTACAGGGGGATGTCACTGCTACATTCGCCCTGGGACCTGTCATCTTTATAGTCTGTTGGAGGTTTGCAAAGTACAAAGAAAGAGAGCTCTGCCTTCTTAATTGGGTGTGGAATATGGGGAATCTTCCTCCCACTGCCCATCTGTTTTCTGTGCTTGTGTACAAAGAAGGGATGAACTGTTCCCTCTTTTCTGCCTCAGCCCACTTAATCACCTGCCTGCAGTGCCTGTTTGCTTGTTAACAGGCTAGTGCTTAAATGTTCAGGCTAGTGCTGAAATACACCTGAAACTCCAAAATATGGTCTCCCAGGTGAGACCACTGTGTAATCTTAAGTATAAATGTAATGGGAACAAAACGCAATAGGTACAGCAGCAATGCTTGAGAGATTGCACCATACATGCAAAACCTTTGGTTCATCGGATGACCATATATCTCATGTTTACAATCATGTAGGCAGCCTTATCCAAAGAGGGACAGAACAAGTGGAAAAGCTTCCTTTGAGCCAAGAAAAGGCAAGCAAGCCAACTGGAGAACTTAATGTTGGTCCGGAACCCACTGAGCGGTGTACCGATGGAATAAAGGTATTAGATTTTATGGTTTAAAGATTGTATCTATATTGAGACATGTTTTCTTCTCTCAAACTCTTCCCTTTACATTTGAGTGGAAATTTAGTGTATAATCTACTGACAAAAAAAGGTTTCTTTCCAAAGCATTTTTGTTACATTCTGCTAACTATCTTGTATCTGTTGACAGGACCTCTGTGGTCAGTATTTGCTCAGGGTAATTGTGACTGAGCTGTCAAATTCATTCCTTCATTCATTCATTCATTCATTCATTCACTTCATTTACATGCTATGTTTCTCCTAATAAAGAGACTCAAGGTAGCTTACAGAATGCTTAAAAGATAAATACGCTAAAAAATAAAATAAAATACAGTATTAAACAACAGCTAAAACACTTCATCATTGTAAAATAACCACAGAAGTAAAAAAAATGATTTAAACACTCAGTCTATAATCCTATTGCATCATACATGTGTGAAAGAGAGTTCGCAGAATCTGGCGTGTGCACAGCACCTCCTCAGCTGTCACATGCTGCATTAGCTTCTGTGATTTGTCTTCCATGTATGTAAAAACAGTAGGATTCTGACCTCCAATGTTAACAACCAATTAAACATTCAGATTATGAACAGTAAATTAAATAACTCAAAAGATATACTCATGTTCAAGTGAAGTAGGAATATGATGTACATGGAGGTCTCTCGGGACAGCTTTAGCTGCAGCCATGCAAAAAGAGAGATTTAAAGTACATGACAGGTAAAGCAGTGCCCTGCCTTCATCAAACTGCTCTAGTAAAGCTCTCTGAGAATTGCATGTGGAAAGGAGCACTGGCATTTGGGACCACTGAGTTGGAAAGAGGAAGCAAAGCTGCTGTATCTCACAGATATCCTAAAGCAGCAGGACAATTCAAATGGGAAAAGATTAATTTTCCAGAGATTCTGAGTCCTCCCTCATGCATGTTCATATGTTAATAAGTGTGTCTCCCCTTTACCAGATACTCAGATTGTGCATCTTGTTTTTTTGGAGAAGGCCGTCTCACGCTATTACCAGTTGAAAAACTAAAGAAGAAAGAGACTTGTGACTCAGATAGCAACATTTTTCCCTCCTTCCATTTCAGATGCATAAGGCATAAAGATGTTAAAATATATTGTAAGGAGAAAACATATAGGTTTTTTCTTCATACTGGATTTGTACACTTTGGTACACATTCACATATTTTGTTTGACTTGTTCCCAAACTGAGCGATGTGAACACAATTCTAGGGATTTGCAATAAAGAAGGGATCTCCAGATAAACATGCTGAAGACAGTAGGGTGGCTTCTTCCTCCTCTTGTCTTTGTTACAGTTTCCTTTATGATGTCAAGCATTGTCCTTTTGTTTGTCCTAGTGGCCATTTGTGAATCCATACATGCGCCACCAAACCCACCACGAATGGCTGCTGTGCAAGTGTAAATTGAAAGAGGGGGATTAAGAGAGACAGAGAATAGCTTGTACCCAGAACTGCAGTCTCTTTCTGTCCATCGTCAGCCACTTCTACTTTCTTTCTTTCTTCTTGTATGGAAGAATGAAAGATCCACTGACAGCCATTGCCACAAGTGAATAAGATTTGTTGGCTTGGCTTGGTATAGGACTAGAGTAGAGGGAAGAGGATGGAGAAGGAACCACTGAATTGTCAGCAAGCAGCAGCCTTTCACCTATTCAAGTGATGGGGCTGGCAGCAGCAAATAAAAGCCTGCAGCTGCTTAGGTGGGATTGGGGGGGGGCATAGTGGCACTGCTAGTAGCTGCACAAATGAAGGTACATGGCAGCCCCAATGGAGTAAAAACTATGCAAGCAAGGTCATTACATTTGCCCAGCATTGTCCCCTCTGAAACCAGCTTCTCAGAACTTCAAGCATAGCAGTGGTACAACAGCTAGGCAAAGAGGAATCCTGCAGTGAAGGTGTCCTCTTTCCTTGGGCCCACCCCTTCGGTTGGCATCAGCACCACTGCTTCAAAGCAGCCAAAGTAAGATGCGGGGGAGAACTGTGTTGGAGACCAGAAAGGACTCTTAGGGACAGAGAGGCCTCACAGGATAGACAGGAGAGGGCTGTGGACTCTTTTTCTGGCTTTGGTTTTGATTAAATTCAGAGAAGAATTCTGAACTCTTATTGACAGTGGAGATCTGATTGATTAAATAGGAATAAGAGCATGAACAAAGTTCTTAGCTCAGATCTTGTCCACTCTTATTACCTCTTTAAGGCCATTGCAGGAAAGCTGGCATCTTTAAGCCTAAATTTTCCATATGCTGTGTTGAGAAAATACAGCTTTCTCTTGTAGGGTTCTTAAAATACTATAGCACATTAAATGCTATTACAAGCAATTCTTAAGGTAACTTGGCTAGTGTTACATGGGTCCATTTTCGCACACGGAGACAATACTGTGTCAAACATACAGTCATGGCCAAAAATATTGGCACGCTTACATTTCTGTCAGAAAATGTAACCCTTCTCTCAGAAAATTGTTGTAATTGGAAATGTTTTGGTACTCACATGTTCATTTCTTTGGAACAACACAAAAAAGAGAAGAAAAGTCAAATCTGATACAGTTCCACACAGAAACCCAAAAATGCACTGGCCAAAATTATTGGCACCCTTAACTTAATATTTGGTAGCACCCCCTTTGGAAAAAATAACTTAAATCAGTCGCTTCCTGTAAACAGTAAACACTTCTCTACTGGAATTTTGGACCACTCTTCTTTTGCAAACTGCTCCAGGGCCTTCAGATTTGAAGGATGCCTTCTCCCAACTGCTGTTTGGAGATCTCCCCACGGGTGTTCTATGGGATTCAGATATGGACTCATTGCTGGCCTTTTCAGAACTCTCCAGCACTTTGTAACCATTTCTGAGTGCTTTTTGAAGTGTCTTTCAGTTCATTGTCCTGCTGGAAGACCCATGACCTCTGGTGGAGACACAGCTTTCTGACACTGGCCACTACATTGTGCCCCAAAATTCTTTGGTAATCATCTGATTTCATGATACCGTTCACACAGTCAAGGCACCCAGTGCCAGAAGCAGCAAAGCAACCCCAAAACATCTTTGAACCTCCACGATGTTTGACTGTATGGACTGTGTTCCTTTCTTTGATTGCCTCATTTCTTTTTCTGTAAACAGTGTCCTGATGTCCAAAAAGCTCTACTTTTGTCTTATCTGCCCACAGTAGTTCTGCCAGAAGGATTGTGGTTTTGTCACATAAGGTTTGGCATACTCCAGTCTTGCTTTTTTATGCCTTTGTGTCAGCAATCATGTTCTCCTGCGTCTCCTACCATAGCGTCCCTTTTCATTCAGATGGTGACGGATAGTGCGAGCTGACACTGTTGCACCCTGTGTCTGCAGATCAGCTTGAATATGTTGGGAAATTAATCTGGGTTCTGTATCCACCATTCGAACAACCCCTCATTGTAATTTTTCAGTAATTTTGCTCTTCCATCCACATCCAGGGAGGTTAGCTACAGTGCCATGGGCTGTAAACCTCTTGATGGCATTGCGCACAGTGGACACAGGAACAGTAAGATCTCTGGAGTTGGACTTGTAGCCTTGAGATTGTCAATGTTTTTCCACCATTTTCTCTCTCAAATCCACAGACAACTCTTTACACTTCATTCTTTTCTCCATGCTCAGTGTCACACACAACACAAAGGTTGAGTCAACTTTTGTCCATCTTAACTGGTTGCAAGTGTGATTACTCTATTGCCCGCATCTCTTACTTTGCGACAGGTGTGTCTAAATACAAGTTAAAGGAGTATCACATGCTTAAAAAGGAATTATTTCTTACAATTTAGACAGGGTGCCAATAATTGTTGTCAGTGCATTTTTGGGTTTCTGTGTGGGATTGTATCAGATGTGACTTTTCTTCTCCATTTTTGTGTTGTTCCAATGCAAACCAAAGAAATGAACATGTGAGTACCAAAACATTTGCAACTGCAACAGTTTTCAGAAAGAAGGGTTGCATTTTTCTGACAGAATTGCAAGGGTGCCAATATTTTTGGCCATGACTGTATAGTTCTTATTGCATTTTTATTACTATTTTGTGACAAGAACTCTTATCTCTGCTATTTTAAGTTTAAAATAATTTTAGTACTCATTTATTTTATTTATTTTATTTTATTAGATTTCTACCCTACCCATCTAGACCAAAGGTCTGTTTTGGCAGCATTACAAATTTAAAAACAGTTAGACCAATAAACATATGGATAAATCCAAGATGGCAAAAGTATAAGAAATTAAGATAAGGCAGGAGGAAAAGCCTGCCCAAATAACCAGGTCTTTACTCCTGAAGACACCCAGAGAGGGAGCCAGGTGGATCTCCACAGGCTAGTTGTTCCAGAGGCGACAGGCCACTGCCAAGAAGGACCGGTTCCTCGTTCTTTCTTTCTAGACCTCCCTCAGCGTTAGGCCCCTCAGCCGCCCAGCCTGGCTGGAATGAGTGACTCTGGCAGAACTGGGTGGGAGGAGGAGCTCTGCCTGTTATCAAGGTCCTAAACAGTTTAGGGCTTTACAGTATATGTCATGGTAAGAACTTTGAAATCATTGTGGAAACAAATGGGCAGCCAATGCAAGCAGGCCAGCGCGGGGAAAATATGCTGGTACCTTTTCACCCCTGTAAGAAGTCTGGCCGGCGCATTCTGTATCATCTGAAGAGATACAAAAGAGAGGGAGTTTCCCAAAACACTGATGTCTGGGACACCCACCCGAAGGACCTTCGTCTTGCCCAGGTTCAGCCTCAGTCCATTCTCCTGCATCCATTGCTGAACAGCCCCCAGCCAGCGCTCAAGGGACGAGACAGCATCCACTGTTTTTGGAAAAAAGGAGATGTAGAGCTGAGTATCATCAGCGTACTGATGACACGAAGCCCCACGTTCCCTGATGACCCCTCCCAGTGGCCTCATATAGATGCTAAACAGCATTGGAGAGATGAGATAGTACGTTTTTGTATTTATTTGTAATTTACCATTAAAAATTTAAAATTCAGTAGTTGACGCTGACAGTAAAGAAGGGAGGGCATGAGAGTTTATAAACCATTGTTCTATTTTTTCTGGTTTCACGTTGTGTATAGAAGCCTCCTATCAGTGGTGAGCACTGCATTGTTCACTGTTGTAGCTTAATGAGCATTCGTTGATGTTTTTGTTCAGTCACATAAATATTGCAAGTTTCTCAGACCCAGTTTTTATTTGTTTTAGAGCACAAATCATAGCAGTTCTTTGTTGTTCAGATTAAGCACACATTATTGTTATAGAGCATGTACATGGAAAAACTTAACAGAACTGTTCTTATTGGAAACGTCAGACGTTTAAGAAATCCTGCTTTTTTCTCTTCTTGATAGTTTACAGATGTTGAGGATGAGGATGATTGGGATTTCTCATTTCTGGAAGATGAAAAACCCTTGCCCGTAAAAGATGAGAAAACTGAGAATGTAAATCCAGTTGAAAAGGACAATTTAAATCCTGCATCCATGGTCCATGCATGGGGAGCTCCAACAGGAAAACCAAAAAAGGATGAAGGTATATTGGTAACAGCACTTGCAGCTGGTCAGCAGCCCTGACGCTCCCAGCCTCAGTTGTGTCCTGGCATACTCTGGGTGGGAGAGGAAGGTGACTGCTCCAGAATTGTATGTCTTGAGGCTGAGGGTCATGTTTACTCAGCCCTTTGAAGGTACAGAAGGAAAATTTTGTTCTGAATTACGTTTACCCTGCTTCTTCAAAGAAGACAAGAACGCACCTTATAATCAATGGTAAAATAGTTTAGAAGCATAGTTAAACTGGAATTTTCTAACGCATAGTCTAGAAAGAGTTGTTTCTGGGCAGGAATATGTTCCTGTTCACTCCAGAGAAAATTAAGAGTGGGCTATGTGAAAAGCTTCTGAGGCTGGCAATCCTGGGACCAGATGCAGATTAATGCCCTCCTGCCACAGGCACTCACACGCACACACATTTCTGCCAAGTAATACAATGGACAGACAAGGCATCATGCTTCAGCAGAATTTCTGGATACAGTGGACCCTCGACTAATGGAATTAATCCATATTGGAACAGTGGCTGCAGGTCGAAAAGTCTGCAGGTTGAGTCTCCATTGACCTACAATGCATTGAAAACTGATTAATCCGTAATCAGCTGTTTTTGTTCCATTTTGTCGTTTTTTCCAGTCTGTAGGTCGATTCTCTGGCTGCAAGTCGAACCTAAATTTTGTGGCCAGAGAAGTCTGTAACTTGAAAAGTCTGTAAGTGGAGTCATCTGTAAGTTGAGGGTCCATTGTACCTCACAGCAATTGTGATTATTTAAGTATTAGAAACTTATGGCTGATATTCTAAATCCTAAAAACTTTAAGAAGACCTAAACATTTTAAAAGGCACCTTCTGACATGTTTTGTACTGCCTCCAAAAATCTAAGGTGGCATTTAAAAAAGAGCCACCATATACTACCCTGAACATGCCTAATATCACATGATTATTGAACCAAAGCAAGGTTGGGCTTGGTTAAGCTTTGGGTGGGAGACCACCAGCAAACACTGAGTGCCACACTGGGGAGATTCAGTGCATGTAGAAGGCTCTAGATTGTATCTCCAGCATCTCCAGTTAAGGCCAGGAAATACCACCACCTGAAGTCCTGGGAGACTGTTGTCAGGTATTGCTGGTTGAACCAGTGGCCTGTTTCAGTTTCCTGTGTTCTTGACTGGAACTTCAATGGCCCAAGTAGTCTTTCTCCCCTCCATCCCATTACACTCACCCTATGTGCATCCATTCCATGCATTGCCTCATGAGGATCAGGGACTCTCCAGAAATATGTAATGTGGTGAAATGACAGCAGGAGTGTGAAGTCAGAGATGGGAGTTGGGATGAGAAGAAATGCTTTCTACTCATGCAGAGAACTCTCTGGATCCAAGTCATCGAGTTTCTCTCATAAATTATGTTCATTTCAGAAACCTTTCATATAAAATCTCACATTTATAGTTTGTTTGCACTGAAATACACAGACTGTCATTTGAAATGTGATCACTTTCTCTAACCCCACAACACTGAGCAGATGAAGTGCTGACCTGGATTCCTATGAGTGTCTGTATTCATCACATCCGATTCCTGAAGCAATGTATCACTAACCCATGAAGAGAGGAGAATCCACATGGCAACAAGACATATAGTACTTATTCAACTTTTATGGAATTCAGGCATTTCTAGTTGTGCACTAAGGCAACGTCTCAAAAGCATGGAAAGATCTCATGCTGGATAGCCTTGGTTAATGGAGATCACAATTCTTCCAAAAAATATTTAGACTGAACATAAGTTTCTAAATTAAAGAATTGTAAAATGTTTCACAGATTGCATGGGAGAGTGACAGACTTTCTTGTAAAATTTCATGGTAATATTACAAGTAATTTGGCTTTTTATTTTTTAATAGGCCTTCAAGATGTGGATAAAAGTAGTACATTAAAAAGCAGTTTAGTCACAGTCACAGACTGGAGTGACTCTTCAGAGATCTGACTGCTTTCTTGGAAAGAAGATTTTTTTTATCTACAACAGTATGATTCCTGTTCGTTTTTCTTCTTGTGTGCTAACAAAGAACGTTTGTTTACCAACTCCAATGTCTTCAGTTTCCCTTTGATTTAATACAGGACACTTTAAGTATATCTGTCAGCTCTCCACTTTCAGGAAAGAATAAATAATTAATAAACAGTATTGACTGAACCAGGGTTTTAAGTAATTTTAAAAAATCATTTTTAAACCTCAGAGAAAATGTGAACATGTTAAATAAATTATTTTCTTTAAAATCTTCTTTCCTTTCTTCCTAAACATTCACAACATTCCAAAGTTTGGAAGCAAACTGCGTCACATTTTAGTAGATGATTCTTAGGATGCTAGCAGCCTTGTCCCTCCGGAAGAAAAGTGGGCTATCCAAGAGTGTATCCCGCTTGGCCTTTCCACATGTTTGGCGCACGTGTCAGGAGGGGTCTTGCAAGCATTATTATGAGATACGTGGAAACAATGTTTTAACAGCTACGTTACTCTGGCTAGCCTGTCGAGATCACAATCCAAACCCTCAGAGTCTCTTTCTGTGCTTTCCCAGGAACTCCACCTCCATAAAGTCAGAGAAGTGTTCTTGCCTGTCTCCATTCAGAAATCAGAGACAACTGTTTGTCACACGGCACCTGGCCTTTCCAGAAGTGACATGAGTCTCTGGCTGGCTCGGTTGGCTCAGAGGAATACTGACTGAGAAGAGAGTGTTTTTGCATAGGAGAGGAGGAGAAGGAGGAATTAAGGATAAGGGACTGCTTTTGTGTTTCAGCCAGCATTTCCAGGAGTCCTGGTAACACTCAAAAGTGTTGTTCCACTACTATTTTCCTTGGCTGCAGAAGAGTCAGGCAGAAAGTGCTCTCAGGCAGTACTTTGAGTGGTTCCTAGAAGTGGCTGCTAAGAATATTTCCTCTTTCTCCCTGCATTGTAGGAATGATCAGACAGGGAAGCCTGGTTCCTCAGCATAGCATTTAGTAGAGCCCACAGTCATAGCCACTATGCTGCCATAAAATTAGGCCAGGGTCGGGTTGTTCTCAGTAATTTTGAACATGCCTACACTGGGAGGTATCTAGATTCAACATAAATTTAGCTTAGTGTTAACTCAGGGAACACTTAGTGTTTTTAATGTATCTTGTTAATGTGCCCCAATAAATCAACAATAGGGTCAGTGTTCTCTCTAATTTTCTACCAGCGTTGGAAAGGGGCCCCACCCTGCCCACACGGGGTTCTGGCCATAACCCGAACAAAGTGGGTGGAAACACTGACTGAGCGTGCAGCTCCAATGCAGTGCTGCTCAGCTGCACACTTGTGCAGCTTAGAGGGAGCTTTGAATAGGGTATAAAAACAGTACCTCTCCAGAAACATTTTTTTCTGTTTCCGTGATGCTATTCATAACAAATGTATGAGCTTATTTGTAAATACTTTTTTAACAGAAAGCAAAACAGATGATTTACAGATATAATTTATATAAAACATCAGTATAGATGTTAAAACAAGGCATGAGTAAAATTAACATCCCATAGGCAAAAGTTCATTTATAAAATATTCTTATTCCCGGTGCTAACAACAGTACCTTTCTCAAAATCATTCTGTGAATGAATAGCACAAAACGTGATTTTTAAAAAAACAATACATTGAGTTTTAGAGCTATAATTACACATAGGCATTTTTATCAAAATGCTTTGGAGGGGATTGTGGTGTCTTTGGATCTGCTGAGCCGTTGTATGCCTTTGTTCGAGTAGAAATCATTGAAGCCGCTCTGTTATATGCATATCCCATCCTGAAAAAGTAATAATGTTTTCTTGTTCTTATTTATTTATTTATTTTATTTACAAGATTTTTTTAGCCATGCCATTACCAATGGTCTCTGAGCAGAATACAACAATATTAAAACTTTAAAAACATTAAAACCATTAAAAACCGTTCTTAGCTCATTCTCCAAATTAAAAGGTGATGTTTACAGGCAAATATCCATTCTTTTCCTTAGAATAGCTACCTGGTGATTTTATAGCTAACAAGTAGGTTAAAAATATAAACTTTCATTTATATTTTTAACTTAACTATACTGAAAAACCTATATCCAGTTTTTCTGAGGCTTACTTCTAAATAGACATATATAGAATGGGATGTGGGGTCCTATATCCTTATCTAAAAGTAAGTATAACAACTCAATGGATGTTGCTCCAAAGATGCAGAGGATCACATCATAAACCTACAATCCTACATCTGTTTACTCATAACTCTGCATTCTCATACACATGTCTGCAAGAAACACATTAAGGGGGTTACAAGACTCCTGAGCAAACATGCTTAGGGTTGTGATATAAGTGTGATGTAACAAAGTTATTTTTTGTGAAACTAAGACCCACTGAGTTTGAGGGATGTTGAAAAATTGCTCATTTCTAACTTGGGTCCACTAACTCTTGCAGTTACATTCTGATAGGCCACCTCAAGCATGTTTTCCTACCAGCTATCTCGGGGAAACTTTACACACAGCTCAACCCTGGACAATCAATTTTTGTGTGTGGATTTTACACTTTCCTTACAGCTTTCTTTGTTGTGGGGATTGGATTAGGCTGTGAATGGCTGCACTAATAAGGCAGCTAACAGAATGAGCACTGGAGCCTAAAACCAAACAGCTGTTGAATTCTCCAGCTCATTCCTGCAGAATATCACTATAAATACTATGGGCCCACACTGGGGGTTCCTCTGGGTACATTCAACAGAGCATGCAGATTATATAGCAACTCCTATGGCAAATGGGGCACGTTTAGCTGCTCTTCTGCAGCTCGTGTAACTGCCAGGAGTCATCTGTCCATGTATTTTTGAACAATAGTTAAAACTACCAGACACCAGTAAGTCCCACTGAGAGAAAATACTTTCAAGGTTCCTATGATATTCAGAAGGACACATTGGAACATTGTTCTGTAATTAAAACTAAAATGTGGAAAGAACTGATACGCATCTACCTGCAGGGTAGACACAAATATTCCAAACAAACCTCTGGATTCCAGTGTGACTGGACACCTGGGAAAAGGGAGTGTTCTGTGAGCACATTCCCATGGCTGGGGAACTCAAATAGCTTCCCAAAGGTTACCAAAATATGGAGGTCAGTCAAAGAATCAACAGCTTTGCCAGGTCAGAAGTCAGAAAGTCAAGAGTTAATAGCCAAACGACTGGTGCAACGGCAGCCATCTAATGATTATAGAGCTCTGTCTCTTGGGGCCATGGAGCTGGTTCTGTAGAGTACTTCCTAATGTATCCACATAATTAGGTTACTGCATTTTTTTCTGTTGGCCCTGTGCCTGCACCTTTTAACAGTAAGGAATTGAGCAGGTAATACATATTATACTTCATGCTTGAAAAGCGTTCACTTGCTTAATTATTCAGTGTCAGCAGCAGGGTCAGAGAAAAAGGTCACCATTTACTCTGAGGGCATGGGAGCAGCAGCCTTCAGAAGTATTACCCCTGGCCTAGAGAGGCTGTAGACCTCTTGTTCAAAAGAATTCCACTTGTCTTCTGTAGCCACTTTCTGCCACTCATGTATATCTATTTCCCCAAATGTCTTTGTTTCTTTTTCACTGTGCATATTTGAGCAAGCCAGAGCCCAACACACCATCAGCCCAAGGACTTTTGCCTCTTAAGGGCAGCCCTTCTCCACACCATATATCCGACTGCTACTGAAACCAAGGAGAATTTCAAATATGGTTAGGAATACAGTGTGGATGGAGGAATTCCTGCTCAATGAAATAATGGCATCACTGGGCATAATGGCAAGCCCTACATTGGTGCCAAACAGCACATTCCAATGCATGTTTGTTCAAAAGCAAGTCATGCTGTGTGGCTTATTCTCAAACAAGGTGTTGTAAGCATCTCTTTACAGCTGAGCTTTGGCTTCTGATAAGCAGCAGTTCTGGAGATGAAGGGGATGACAAACTTTCACATGAATCTCATGAGTCTTTCAGTTATACCACCCCCCTGTCTGATGTTTTAGATGAGAACTTTGATCATCCTTCTCCATTAGCCATGCTGACTAGGGCTTATGAAATCTGGAACACTGGGAGGACATTTGTGGAAAAGGCTGAGCTAATAGAAAGACAAACCCATTAACGTGTGCATACCACCTATATCTTCACTGTCCACACCAAAGTGCATTATCTCCCAAAATGTTTGCTTTCAATTGATGTTTTATTTGCATTTAAGAATAAAACATTGTAATCTACAGAACCCACCTTTATCTCTGATAGTGCAGCAAGAGGAGTTACTGTCCTCTCACATTCTACCTCTTTCTCTGATCCCATTGATTCTCTCCTCTATTGTGTGGATAGGGCAAAATTAAGATCCCACTTTGGGAACAGTAGAGGAGGAAGATAAGCAAGAAATCTGAGAATCTGAGACAATGGTACCACCTTCTCCTGGTTCACTAGGACTGCTGAAAGTAAATATAGGTACTTCTCTGCACTTCTGTTTGGAAGACCTAAAACCATCCTGTGAAAGCGGAAAATGCCTGGTAGGCTCCAAAGTCTTAGCTCTGGTTATCGAATCATAAAATTCAGGCTTAAGAGCACTGAAAACACAAACATGTATTTCCTTTAGAGACAGAACATTGCAAGGTCGGTATGGTACAGATGAAGGCTTTTGCTATCAGCTTCTGCCACATGGCATCTAATGCTATGCTCAAACCTTATAGAGACAAGCAATATCAAACAAGATATTTCCTTGAAAGGGGGGTTAAAATCCTAACCACCTCTTTTCTTTCTTTCAGCCAATCATTCGCAAACCTTAACTGTAAGGTTGGTTTAGAAAGATATGCAAACTAGATCTGCATAGCTTACCTTCTTACACATTTAATAATTAGAAATATGCTAATGCATTAATTTAAATAAAGCTGGTGTGTTCTGTACCTTGGAGTTTTATTGTTTTCAGCAATTGAGAAGCAGAATATACTGCCACCAATTATGCAAAGTGATGCTCCAGCCCATCCAATGAACAAAGCTGCTCCTAATTCATACCTGCAAGAAAGTGATACATTCATGCTTCATAAAGACTTTAATCAGCAAATAGGTTTCTTTCACACCCACACCCTTTTTGGCGTGTGTGTATGTGTGTGACAAAGATAAACAAAGCCACCCAGCTTATTAACACAGATTCCACTAAATAACTATGCAGAAGCTGCACATACGATAACGTAAGAGTATACAACAAAGTAACCAGAACTTTGTCTCTTCTGAATATTTGCCTTTTCCTGTTCACTACTGGCTACAGTTCTGGAACAGCCTCCTTGAACCTGTTGCCTGGCTATTCCATCAGGAATGTTGGGAGTTATAATCCAGCATAATAGGAAAGCCTCACCTCTGGGAATGCTCTTACAGACATTCTGGAGACCAGCCATCACAGGTACAGAAGCATGCCTAACTGATGGATGTGGAGCCCACTTCTGCCCACAGCCCAAATATGTCATAATAGAAAGTCCACATTAAAAATAATAATAGATTGACTTGATTTTTGTTCTGGATTTGGAATCCATGCTGATTACCATGACTACCTATTCCGAATGAATGAATTGACAAGGGAGGCTTACCTCAGTCTCCGGCAAGCGTGTACGGTATCTGAAAGACTGTATTCTCTCTCATATGCCTATCTGGCCTTTCAGTTCTTTGGGTAGCCCTTCTCCTCATCCCGCCACCCTTAAAGGCATATTTAGTTGGGATGGGAGAGAGGGCTTCTCAGTGGCTCCTTCCAGGCTCTGCAACCACCTTCCAAGGGCAGCTGGCCAGCCTCCAGCTCTGCTGCCCTTCCTGTGGCAAACGCCCTTCCATTCAGGTGGGCTTTTAGCAATTGATTGCCTGCTGAGGAAGGGCTTTATTGGGTGAATGCTGCACTTTTTTTACTGATGCGTTTTTAATTATATTGTCTTTTAATATAATTCATAGAATTGAATGAATGAGTTGACAAGGGAGGCTTACCTCAGTCTCTGGCAAGTGTGTACGGTATCTGAAAGACTGTATATTGTCTTTTAATATAATTCATAGAATTGTTTTTATAGCTTTTCAAACATTACTTACTTTTGTGCAATATACGTGGGGTCAAAGAACTCAGATGTGATTCGGTGTGCATACAGGGAACAACCCGTCAATGCGCTCAGCCCTAGAATACATCAGACGGATAATACATCAGAATACAGTACAGTACATCAGTACATGTAGATATGATCCTTCTGACTAATGAAATCAATAGCAGTTCCCCCATGATTTTGATATGATGCACTTCCAGATAACTGCAGAGTGCTGAGCGTGTATCATTTCATATTTACCGCAGAGTATGAAAATCAACCCAGCTAAGCAAGCAATTTTGGATTTCATCTGGTCTGAGCCTCCAACTTTTGTGCACTTCATCCCAACCAGTGCAAACACAGAGCCAAAAAATCCAAGACAGACAGCAGCGATCATAAGTCCTCTGCAGGCCTGGATGTAACCTGAAAATACAACAGCAAAAGCTGGTTATTGATTAAACATGTCACTTTTCAAGGGTGTTTCAAGGGTCAGTGTGAAAATATTACATTCCCAGTCTCTCCCATGTAATGGACCCACTCTGCAATTTATTGGACTTCAGAACCATGCAGAACCACCATGAGGGTTTGTCCAGATGTCTTTCCCGATTTATTTATTTAGTTCATTTATTCAGTCCCTCATTCCCAGTCTCTCCCATGTAAATGGACCCACTTTGCAATTTATTGGACTTCAGAACCACGCAGAACCACCATGAGGGTTTATCCAGATGTCTCCCCTGATTTATTTATTTAGTTCATTTATTCAGTCCCATGTTCTAGCTGGCTGGATAGCTCAGTGGTTCAGTCATCTGGCTGCAGAGCCAGAGAATGGGAGTCAGATTACTCATTGTGCCTCCTGCAAGTACAGTCAACCTGTGTAGCCTTCGGCAAGCTGCACAATCCCAGGGTACCCCCAGAAGAAGGGAATAGTAAACCACTTCTGAGTATTATTTACCTGGAAAACCCTGAAAAAAGGTTTCCATAAGTAGGAATTGATTTGATCGCACATGATTATTATTAGCACTTGTTTATCTCATCCTCCCACTGAAGAATAGCACTGAAGGGCACCAACAAACATTATTTAAAACAATTAAGATAAATTAAAACATATTGAAAAAAGAATATCCTTTAAATATCACCTTAATCTAGACCATTAAAGCCATCAAAATAATCAGGAAACAACAAAACAGTTTGGAAGCAGCATGTTTTCAGACCTTTCCAGAAACAGTGAAAAGTGAGAACCAATCACAACTCTGAGGAAAGTGCATTCATTCACCAAGGCTACATCCAGTCCTCTAGGGAGACCAAGGGGCAGCCTGTCCAGGACCTCCCGAGCTCCCCAAATGGCCCTCCCAATTTATTTTGCTCCCACACATACTGTACATGATGCTCTGTAGAAGCTTCTGAGGACAGTAATGTGCATTTTGGGTCTCCTAATGTTGCAGGTCATGGGGGTAGAGGACCTCCCGAGCTCCCCAAATGGCCCTCCCAATTTATTTTGCTCCCAAACATACATGATGCTCTGTAGAACCTTCTGAGGACAGTAATGTGCATTTTTGAGTCTCCTAATGTTGCAGGTCATGGGGGTAGAAGTGTCAGTGTGTACACAGCCCTCCAAGGTCTGTGAGAGGACAAAAATGGGCCCCAAACTCTTGCAAGTTGTCCATTTTTATAGACTCCTTATAAGGGAGTATAAGATCTGTTGGGTAATCATGTCCTGACAGCTATTAACCACCATGTTTCTGCTTGGCATCTACATGACGTTAAGAACAATAGGTGCCAATGCAGTTGTAACTTGACAGTTCAGTGAAAGAAGGCCATAAGAAAAAAAATCATACAGGGATGGGAGGGAACCTTCCAGTTCTCAACATATGGGCAATCTTCTAACCTTAGGAGAACAAGAACTATTAAAATACAGTATCAGAATAATAGATCTAGGATCAACTTTCCTTGACTAGAAGGCCTCTACTCATGGAAGCTGTCCAATTTTGAAGAAATCCTCTGCAACCACCACACCTCACTAGGATCCTTTTACATAGCATTTTGAGGGAACGGAGGCAGAAGCTGCTGTAGCAGAGGAGAAAGAGGTATACCCATGTTCCCCAATGCAATCGTGAATGCCTGAATATGGCACAGCTGCTACATGCACACTAAAATTCACCACTTTCCAGTGGAAGGACTGACAAAAATCGTTACTCTTCCACGAGTACCAGGGACCAAACCTTCATACAACTACCGCACACCTGAGGGAGCTATCCAGCAACGTGGATCAACTTTGGGCTAGTACATACTACAAAAACTGTGCTGGAATGCCAAAAATCTTTCCAGGGTATTTCCTAGCTTCTTATTCCACTCTGTGTGTCTTCTAGCCATCATATATTTGTACTTGCAGTGTTGTTTTCAATCTTTTTCTTGTCTTCGTACTCCCAATTGCAGAGTAGCCCACATTTTCTTGGCAGTAAGTCCCACAGGACCCACCCACGGGACTCGTTCTCTGACACTTGAAGATCTGACTTTTAGACTCTCCAAGGAAGGAGCTCAGCGGCTATAGTTTCTGATTCCCCACATCTGGTAATCTGGGCTGAGCTGGGAAAAGCTACTATTTTGGATGACAACTCTCAAAAAGTTCTGAATCTGGCCATCAGTTCTCATGAACTATTTCATACCTCTGCAATACTGTGGATGGAGGAAGGGCAAATAGAAAGACTGGAGAACAGAAGCGGAATGTTGTGGCTACTTGAATTTCCTTGGGTTACTGGGGAAGGTATAGAGTCAGTCTAATTTGGGATCCAGATTTCTTTCTTCTAAGCAAAAGTCCAGAGGACAGGGCTGGTACATCCACTTGCCCTCAGATACATAAAACTGTTCACTCTAAGGACAACCTTTCAATTATCTTCCACATGTGGTGGACTATAATGCCTGTCATCCCTGACCATCAGCTGTACTGGATGGGGCTGATAAGAGCAGTAGTCCAAAATATCTAGGAAGTCTCCAAAAAGGGGGGAAATTGTTCTTCAACACCTGCTAGTTTCTTGACTCATTTCAAATGCCAAGCCCAAGATTTTAACATAGTAGTATTGCAGTCATTCCACATTCTGCCCCACCTCATTTCCTGCTGACTCCTCTGCCATTAAGTACAATCCTGAGATTCTGTTTCAAGCACCAGGTCTAGGTTGTGAACTTGCCAAAAATATACTGTTTGTGTAAGTACACTAGCAGACAATTTTGGCTGTTATTCCAGCCTTGAGTATCACTGTCTCATGTTAATGGCACCTTCGTGCTAAAAGAAGCAGGAAGGTGTCTACCGGCTTCAAGAAGTTTGCTTAGAAATCTGTACAAACCACTTCCTCTCCAATGTTGCATAAAACTTAAGCAATGCAATAAATATATATTTTATGTCAATATCCTTAAAGGTCTCAGAGTCTTTCTGCCCGCCTCTTTTCACCTCTGCCTGTTTGCCCTGCCTGTCTTTAACAGGTCTTATAACTGTGGACATAAAAAAGGCAAGATCCATGATTACTGCATCTAATTTGTTTGCAGAGAATGTATTGTCGATGAACATTAACTTTTCCTAGATCCAACACACCATTTCTTCACATGCATAGACAATCTGGAAACATCACAAAATATTTGCTTCTGTATTATCATAATAATTGGAGATTCTAACTAAATTTAAAAGCAGAGAAACCTTTCAGATGATCTTACATAGTTTTTGGATTTGCCTCCCCTTACTGATTGCCAATAAGTAAGTGGAATACAATAAAAGTGTTACCAAATTTATCAACATGCAAATTTCGTGCTGGTATCCAGTTTGCTCAAAAGCCAGTTCACATATGATTTTAATGGGCACTCAATTATCAAACAGCCTACCTGAAATCAAATGTGTGACATGCCTCTTAATAAAGCAAGGTCATTTAGGAACTCACCAGACTGTGCCACCATATGGATAAGAGAAAGACAAGAATGGAACTGTTGTAGGTGGAGAGAAGGCGTTAGGAGAAAAGCTAGTTAACAAATTCAAATACTGATGGTTACCTAAATAGGTAAAGGTTCCCCTTGACAATTTTTGTCCAGTCGTGTTCGACTCTAGGGGGCGGTGCTCCCCCCCGTTTCCAAGCCATAGAGCCAGCGTTTGTCCAATCTTCCGTGGTCACATGGCCAGTGCGACTTAGACACGGAATGCTGTTACCTTCCCACCAAGGTGGTCCCTATTAATTTACTCGCATTTGCACGCTTTCGAACCGCTAGGTTGGCGAGGAGCTGGGACAAAGCGACGGGCACTCACTCTGTCACGTGGATTCGATCTTACAACTGCTGGTCTTCTGACCCTGCAGCACAGGCTTCTGCGGTTTAGCCCACAGCGCCACCATGTCCCTTGGTAGCTAATTAGACCATCATTTATAATCTTTCCCTCCTGACAGGGTTCCTCCTGTGCCTTTCACTACGGTATGACAAGCCAGACTTGGAAGAGGTCTGCTTCTTTAAACTTATAATGATCAGACAAGCTTAACTGAATTGGTTCTGTTTGTTTTGTGGTTATTAAAGACACGGCTTAGATCCAACTCTTGGTCCTAACTAGAGCAAATCCACAGAAGCAATGGTTGAATTGTGAGCCAAAGCTTGTGTAAGCATTGATTCAATTGCTGTACTCTACTTGAGACAGCCATTTGCATTCAGGCCCTGGGTGGCAATACTATCCCAGCATACTAATCCCAGAGCATTCAGTTGATCCCCTACACTAATTTAAGGAATGTGGATGGGGGATCATAGAACTGAATGGAGCAACCATGCCCACTGCTGTCTGCATCTGGCACATGAAAGAAGGAGCTCTACATGGGTACTAACATACATATACTGTATAAAGATTGTCCACAGAAGGAGGGGATCCTACTTGGACCAGAATCCCACTTGAGTGGAGAACCTCTACGATACCATGTGCAAAGACAACTGTGTATGTTGGCTGAACGTCTGTTGAGCAGAAAGCATGGTCAATACATGTGTCTGTGATGACATGTGGCCACAGACAGCCTCACTTCCCCTTCAATGTGCAAGGGATGTTTCTATGAATACCTGTACAGTGAGAGTAAATCAAACACAATGCTGAAACTATGGTCCACCTAAAATAGCAGCTTGCCACCTACTGGCTGTAATCCTGTTGTTTAGTGTAGTGAGCTGCAAGTAAAGCCGTCCCATTTGAATCAATGGAACTTAACAGGAGTTGATTCGCCAAATTCTCACCCATTGAAAGTCAAATAGGTCTACCCTATTTGTAGCTTACTACACTAGAAAACTGGATTTCAGTCATTTATTTATTTAAATAATGAATAATGAATGGAAGGGCCTTTGCCACAGGAAGAGCCTCGTGGCGCAGTGGTTAAACCGCTGTGCTGCAGCCAAAACTGTGCTCATCACAGCACAGGGTAGGT